CAACATAGTTCCCAGAATGAGAGCTTATGGGGCTTTTCATGTTAATAGATGACTAGAATTAGACCATCCACGCTCAGATTGTTATAATTTGTCTCCAAAAAGTAGCACAATCAGCTGCACAATGGGTATCTGTGTGGAAATATCATTAGAATGGACTTGAGTTGTCTTTTTTATGACTCTTAATGGTCACGCTTACAGTAGAAGACAACAGAAATTGAAAATTTAGTGTAGTGTGTAGTAAATACTTGTATTCACAGCTCAAAAAAAAACGGCTTTGTGAAAACTTCTGAAAATATTTTTAACAGGAGGTTGCTTTGTTACTTGGATTTTCTTCCTAATTTTCCTTCCTCTGATATCTTTTTCTCTTTCACAAGCAGGAGCAACCATCAGGGTAACAGGTATCTATTTACCAATCTTGTATGTGGTCTCCATCTTTCTGAGCAGAAGAGATGTATGAATGTTGTTTTCATAAATTTGCAGTTCCATCCCTGTTAAAAACCACCTGTCTGCATTCATGGATTGACTGTCATATCACAGTTTGCTTTTTCCTTTCATAGTGCATTTTAAAATTAGACTGATTTTATTAGGCCCAGAGCAACTATTTTGCACCATCATCTTTTGAAACAATTGGGCGCTCATCTATATTGCTTAGTCACTGGTGAGCCACCTGCTCTCAGTCTGTTTGGGGAAAAAAGATCAGTGTTGGCAGTAAATGTTCTCTTTGATGCAAATAAATCCTGATGCTATTGCACTGACAAATTCTTTTTCAAAATAAGCACCACATATCACATTTCTCAAGGAATAGAGAACTTACTGTGACCCAAAGTAAAACAAACCGTTACAATTTTAAAAATGTTTGGTTCCAGAATTACTCAAAGCAAGTTTTTACTTAGAATAAGGAGCAATTTGGATTCATAGTTTCTTTGGGATCTTGTACTTTCAAATGACCACAGGATTTAACCAGCTGTTGCCAGGCTGCATTTGATTTCTATTCCTTCTACAGTTCAATTTTTCACATTTTTTCCTAAGTTACTGAATGCCTTTGTTTTAATATTATTCTGCAAGAAACTTCAATTATAGACAGTCAATTCAATTGGTATATTACATTTATCTGTTAAAATAATAAAATATTTTTGTGACATTTGAACTCTTAGAAGCGGTTTTAACTTAAGCTTAACTCATTTGATAAGGGGAAGCTCCAAACTCTGTTCTGTCAGTGTGCATACTGAACAAAGTAGATATTCCACCTTTCTGCACAGCTTGTACAAGGTAAAAAATACCTTGCACTGTTATTTGAAGCAGTGTATAAAACCAGAACAGTCTTCTCCAAGGATAACTTGTTATTTTAATTATGAAATGGTGATTGTCCCTTTTCATGCCCGGAAGTACTGGAGATGCTTACAGATGCTTGTCTGCACAGAAACGTCTGACTGCATATAGTAATAACACTAATGTTTTCTTTCATTGTGGTGCTTTAATGTTGCTTGTAACATCAGTACCACAAACTCCCAAACAGTGTAACCTGGAGCTTTTCACTTCACAGTTGTGCGGGGTGATCCCTTGCTTAGAATACAGTCGTATTTCTCAAACATTTTCTTATCCAAAGTTCATTTAGTGTTTTTTGCTGGGACTGGGATCTGCAGGAAATAGGTTCCAGCAGCATTAACCACCAAGAAGGGGGGAGTGGTGTTTAACAACTTACAGGCTTTTCTTTAGACCGGGAGTTCAGGCTGTTGTTTCCATTCTAGTTGAAACAAAACTGGGTTGAAGTTTCAGCTGAGGAGTGAGAAGGAGGGCAGTAGGAGTAACCTGGAACCAGCTGCATGATTCCTGAGCATGTTGTTCTCTTTGCAGCTGAATCCCAACGGGACATACGGCACTAACCCTGAACCCCAGCTCAGCAGTGATCCTTTTGAAGACCTGTCATTTCAGCTGCTCGTGTCCAAGTTGCAGACATCTGTCCGAACATCACCCGCTCCAACCTTAAACCAAAAGGAGTTGATACAGTTGCCTTCAGCAAGGCAAAGAAATGTGGATAATTTGAATACTGTCAATTGCATGCCAGCAATGCCTCCTATTCCAACCTTTCACTCATCCCAGGAACATCAGCACAGCTCTCCAAATCCATTTATTACTGGGCTGAATTGCTCAAATCCATTCACTGAAAGAACTCCTAATGCTGGGAATCCATTTAGGACGGAAACCCGGGAGGCCAGGATAACCTCACAGGTACTGGTAGGACCTGCTGCTTCCCAGCCATTCCTTCCTCTGCCCCCACCCAGCTGTAAAACAAGCAAGCCTCTATTTCCTGTGGATGCAGCTGAAAATACATTTTGCTCGCGAAATAGATCTCTCGAGGTAGAAAACGTACAGCTCAAAGGGTGGGTGACGTTTGATGCGGATGAGAACTTTAACACGAAGCTAAAGCCATCTGCCGGTGTTTTGGATTTTAACCAGCTCGGCTCCGGGAAATCAGCTGGATGCCCAGGTTTGCTGGGAGCTGAACAAAAGACTTTCCTTTGTTTAGACTTTAAATTTGACAGTGACTGGAATAAAAGTTCTACTGATTGCTTCTGTACAATGCCAGCAAGAAAGCCACCTGCACTCCCTGTGCCATCCAGAGCAACCAGCAACAGGTCCCCTGCAGATCCCTTTCCCTCCCCAGCGCCCAAGGTGTCACCAACTCATGATTTTACAGAAAGATAGATGGTCAGAGATACAGAAGGTTATATTTGTTGCTACATTTATCCAGTAGAATAATTGGGCATTTGAGATTATTCTGTATGCAATAATTGTTAAATGCACTGAAACGTAACTCTGCTCATAAACAGCCACTTGAACTTGTGTATAAATTTTGAATGTGTATATATGGTAGAGCACAAAAATGGTCTGAAGTTTATTAAAATCTCAATGTAATAGTATTTGAATAGACAAAAAGAGAAGAAGGGTGAGCTACTGTCTCACGAAAATTTATCAATCCTGGACACAGATTTTACTTAGGGAGCTCTTTCATTTCTGTTCCCCTTTGTGGAATTTCACAAGAAGAGGCTCCCTGCTGGTAGCCTCCCCCCTCCCTTTTGACTGTTTTGTTAGTTGATATTTGTAAGTATTTACCAAAGAGCTGCCAAAGTTTATGGAGATTTGAATGTTGACAAGTATTGTTTAGAAGCTGTTTCATTCATAACAGAGGCTATGGGTATTTGTAAGGCCTACATTTGAATTCAAGGCACAACAAAAATAGTTTACTTTCAAAATAGAAACAAAATTTTGCATATTAATACATTCAATTAATCTCCTGTGTCAGTATATTTCAGTTATTAAATCCGATTGTGACATACACTCACTAGCACTAATTCAGAATAATTGTTCCATGTCATCCATTTATTCATTACGATTTTAACTATACTTTTTTTTTTTCCACAAATTGGAAACAGTTGATACAGCAAGCTTTTCCTCAACCTCTGGAAAAAAGTCCCCTTGGCTTTTGAGATACAAAGCAGTATTTACCAGTTTTAGACCATGCAGTCTGCCAGCCAGAGGGTAAAACAACACACTTGGATTATATTTAGAGTAGTGAAATATCCCAGGGCAGCATGCTTTTTAAATCATCACATGCTCTCACAACATGCTCCATGAAATAATCCACTATTCCTTCGGACAGCCCCTGGTTAGCCACGAGCTGCAGCTGCCTAGAGGAGTGATAGTGAGTTTTCTATTGTGCTTTTTTCTGTTCAGGTCATTCAAGTTGTACATTTGGACAGCAGTGGTACTACTTGTGCTTTAGTGTGTGTTACCTCTTTTTACGCTGTTGCTGCAAACCTCTGTGTGGTTGATGTTTTGGTATATTCTTACATCAGCAAACCAAATTCAGGGGGGAACTTTTGCTAGTGGGAGTCACATAAGTATATTGTCGAATATTTAATTGCAGTGATTAAAAACTGTCTGTCTGAACTATACCTAGCGTGCGGCTCCTCTGCACTTCACAGGACTGTGGGGACCACAGGGAATGCTCCAAAATTTCAGGGTCTATATACATATGTATATATGTGAGTTGTAAGGCCCTGCCGTGTGTTGACAGGAGCAATGAGCAACAGCAGAGGCTCTGAAAACACTGAGGATGGAGGTGAGACCCACTCCTCACGTGTCCCTGGACTCTCCATGTTCCCTGTCCCGGTGTTCCCGCTCACCTGCCCATGGTTGTATCCCCCTGGGACATCCAGGTATGTCTGAAATATTCCTGCTGGATGGTCATTCTCTCTCTGTGCCCCTGTGTTACCAAATCCTCCTAAATCGTCAGGATAAATAAAACCCTCTACAACCATCTTTTTACTGTCAGTTAGGTGTTCCTTTATTCTTAGCTAGGGGCTGTATGGCTGACAAAATTCCAGCCTCCACACAGACACTGATACCCAAATTTTTCACTTACTTATACATTTTTAGGAAACAAAGATATTAACATTAATTGGTTCTAGATTACATAATTACCTTTAATTAATTAGTATTCTGTCATTTATTGGTTATTGATTTCTCACTTCTTAGGCTAATTAGTCCATATTTCTAGTCTTGTTAAATCTTTCCCTTTAGTAGGGAATTTCCAGTGCATATATTGAGTTTTTATCTGGTATTTTCTGCATAGTCCTTTTGATCCATAAATTTTCCATTCTACATGTCCAACCTCCCCACTCCCTCTTTCTCTTCCGGGCTTTGTTTATGGGACATATCAGAGTTAGTTTATCAAAACTGAATGTTTCAGGACTTTTCACAAGTTGTCCCCACAGAAGTAGCTTGTAACAACTTTGCTAAATACTGGCTGAGAGTAATTTAAGAATAGTCCAGTGTTTATAGCTAATAGACATATAGGCGATTATTAATTAGAACAATCAATTTAAAAGGTAATTAAACTCCTTACCTGCAATTAGCAAGACGTTCTGTGGTTTCCGACACCGGGCAGGGCGCGCGGGCCCTTTAAGCGGCTCCGTGCCCTCACGGGTGCCCGGAAGTGGAAGCGGTGGCGGCACCGGCGGAGGCGCCGTTGCAGCGGGACCGGAGCGTCCCGGCGGCTCCCGAAGGATCCCGGTGCTACCGGCGGGGGCGGCAGCGGCCCCGCAATCCCTGGGCCACCCGAAGCGGCGGGCGCGGCCAGTCCCCGCGTTCCCTCCCTGCCGTCGGTATCCAGGGACTCGGCTCCGTTGCTGAGGGGCCGCCCCGGCCCGGCCATGGTGCGGCTGCACGTCAAGCGCGGCGGCGAGAGCCAGTTTCTGCTGGAGGCGCCGGGCAGCGCCCGCCTGGCCGAGCTGACGCCGCTCGCCGCCCGCATCCACAATGGGCGGCTGAAGGTGCAGCGCCTGTGCTCAGGTACCGCTCGGGGCCACGGGGGGTGGGAACGGCTCCCGGCGACCGCCCGGGCAGCGGGAACGCGCCGCCTCCGCTCTTCACGGGGTCGTGTGCGAATTCACGCCTTTGGTGTTTAGTGAGGGCACCGCAAAGTGCTGGAAACTCTCCGGCTGCGTGTGCCGGTGGTGGCTGCTTAAATCAGGGAGTCGTGGAATGGTTTGGTTTGGGAGGGACCTCATAGCTTTCGCAGTCCCAGCCCCTGCCGTGGGCTTTGGACACCTTCCGCTAGACCAGGTTGCTCCAAGCCCTGTCCAGCCTTGTCTTTTGACACTTCCGGAGTTCTAGGATCAGCCACAGCTTCTCTAGGCAACCTCTGCCAGGGCCTCAGCACCCTCACAGGGAAGGATTTACCCTCAGTGTCCCATCTAACCCTGCCCTGTGGCAGTTGGAAGACGTTCTCCATTGTCCTGTTACTCTAGGCCCTTTCCAAAGTCCTCCTTCTGTGGAGGGCACTGTGAAGTGCTCCCTCGGGACCAGCAGTGCCCCAGCGTGTGTGTGAGATTATACTGGCCACCACCAGCATCTCCTGCCATGCAATGACGTCAGTGACATGTCTGAATTAGTGCCGAGTCCACTTCTGAGGCTGCTTTAAATAACATGTCCTGTCCTACCATAGGGTGTCAGAGCAGAGATTCCTGTCAGGTAAGCCTGACCTGAGGGTGCAGCCCACCCACACCTGCTGTGCAACAGCCACGGTGTTTGTGGGGTGTCTGAGGCCATACTGACACTGCTCTGAAATTTAAAAAATCTGACCAGGGAAATACCAAAAAATAAAAGGTTTATGGCCACTAAGTATCATGAGGGTTTGTATTCCTGCACGTGTAATTTGTTACATTGTTTTATGGCTATGTAAGGTGTATAAATTTCAACATAATTACACCATCCGTATCTATATATGTGTTTTTATATCCCTTATTCTTTATTCCCTATGTTTACCTGCTTATAAACAAAAAGCTAGGGGCAACTTTTGGTTGCATGTACATCATGTGAAAGGCTTTTGTAAATGGACTATAATAACAGAGACTTTTAATCTTGTTCTCTAAACACTCTGAAGAGATGGAGGAATTGGCAGAGCATGGTATTTCCTTACCTTACAATATGCAAGGACTGACAGATGAGCAGATTGAAGAGCTGAAGTTAAAGGATGAGTGGGCAGAGAAGTGTGTCCCAAGTGGTGGAAGCATCTTCAGGAAGGATGAAATGGGCCGAAGAAATGGATTTGGTAAGTCATATGTCTATGCTTGCTTCTTTCCCTTCAGACACAGCCAATCCAAGGAGCAACAAATCCCTAGTTCTGGAATGAGGTAGTCAAACTATAAGTCCCACACACAGGAATTCTGTCTTGGGTTAGAATCTGGGGTAATGATGATTAACAAGCCTGAAGAGCAGTATTTCTCTTCAGCACATAAACAATCACCAGGAGCAAGTTTGACTGTTCCAGTTTAGTTTACTCACCCTGTTTGTAAATGTACACTTGAGAACTGGCTTTCCCTGGGGACTCCAAGATACATTAACAGGTTATTTTTCTAATATTTCTCCTTTTTTCTCATTGACTCAGATTCAGATTCACTGAGCATGTTTTTGTAAGTGGAAGGACAGCCTTCTGATATTGACAAAGTTAGAAAATTGAACAGTGTGTATATGTAAGCCAAACCAAGTGCCATCAAATGATGCACCCAAATGGGACATAAGATGGGAATGAGTGTGCTTTAGCTGGATTTTTGTTTTTGAGGACAGGCTTTTTAGAGCAACTGTAATAGATAACTGTGATAAGAAATGTACAGTGTATTTGTCAAACTGTCTTTGTTGTTAGATTGAGATTTTAATTAGAAAAGACAAGTCAGAAAGCTGCAAGCTGTTATGGCTAGTTAAAGCATGTCTGCCAGTACATCCCACAAGAGTCCATTAGAGAAGGAGACTTGGTTTGTTGTGGAGGGTGTGGGATTATGGTTGTTGTTTTCTGCTGAGGACCTTTGTCCCAAATGAAGTTCCAGATCATAGAATCATGGAATCACAGAATAGTTTGGGTTGGAAAGGATGTTAAAGCTCATGCACTTCCACTCCCCTGCCATGGGCAAGGACACCTTCCACTGGACCACATTGCTCCAAGCCCTGTCCAGCCTTGCCTGGAACACTTCCAGGGATGGGGCAAATACCAGTCACATGTCACAAGGGAAAAGTAAGTTTGTTTGTCCCATGAAAAATACTGCTTATTTCTTAAGTTAGTAAGAAATACAGGAATGTACTATATAACTCCTGCTTTATGATATAATACTGTTTCATTGCTCACAGTGGAGTCTGGTCAGGATATGTACTTGGTTTCTTTACAGTAAACATAGACTATGAAATATATTTCTTATTTTTAGCTCCAAATAAAAAAATGCAGCAAGTTATAAAGAAGACAATAGAAGAAGCCAAGGCATTAATCTCTAAGGTAAGTTTCCTCAAGTGATGTGTGAGGGCTTTTCTAATAAGTGCTGTGGAGTTGGACATCTTAAATAAAATCAGACTTTTTCTGGTTTAAGGGCTGAGAGTTCTTGAGAAATGCCATGAAGTGATGTAAATAGTCCAATAAAACCTGACATTTTGGTTAATGTTTCTCTTTAAGGTTTTTGGCAAGTGGTTCAACAGGTTAAGGAATCAGATACTAAACTCCCAAGGGAATGCTGGCAGCCGAGCCAGCAATGTGGAATGATTAAATCACATTCCGTTTTATCCTTGCAGTTTGCTATTGATGTGTTCTTTGGGTGAATCCTTGTTGTGCTTTCTGGTGAAAAATTAACTGCATTCTGTGCTATTCTTGGAGTTAATGAAGTAATTTGTATTTTTTGTGTAATTAATTGAAAAATGTGTTCTAATCTCTTAGATTATCACAGAATCACAGATGGTTTGGTTTGGAAGGACCTTAAAGTTCATCCAGTACCACCCCACTGCTATGGGCAGGGGTACCTTCCACTAGATCCAGCCTGGTCTTGAACACTTCCAGGGATGGGACAGGGGTTAGGCCTTGGTTTGACAAGCACTTGTACTCATGCTTAGGCCTGCTGAGTGTGTGGGTTCAAAGATAAGCACAGGTTTTCCCTGATGGGACGGTGCTCTCAGGCATTCAGATTCACATTGTCAAATATGTAGGTACTCTGTGTTGTGTTTCAGCTTTTGTGTGACTTTGAAACACAAATTTAGTAATATTTATGAATGGAGTTAAGGATGGTTTGGAAAGTGGTTTGTTTGGTTTGCCACTTTATAATGACAAAAAAAGAAGAAAAATGCCCGTGTATTCGAGGTTGTACTGGCCAGTTAACCAGATCAAGAACGTCCACAAGGAGGCAACATTCCCTTACCTTAGTATTTAAGAAACTTAAATCTGCAGGGAAGATCTTTATTTCTTTTCTTCCAGATGTGTCATGCTTCTCCTTTATCCTTACAGTAGGGTTTGGAATGATCTCAAGTACTTGGTCTTACAGTTCTCTGCATGAGCTGTTCAGTTTGCCAAGCTTTGCACTTCTGTTTGCATGTGCTCTATTTTTTTTCTCAAGTTTTAAGCCCCTTCTCCATCCCTCAGTTGAATTTTGCTGGCTTGAATCATGTTCATGAATCACATGTGCTTGGAGCCAAAGCACCCCTGTCTGGTATTTGTGGCCGTATGTGTCCTGTTTTGAGTCCTGTGTTCCACAGGCAGCTGTCTCCTGCACAGTTTACTAAAGGTCTCCCTTTTTTGTTCTCTCCCCCACCCCATGTAAGCAGGCTAAACAGAGGGGCCAAACGTGAGAGATGTACTCCCAAGTCAATATTCCAATAAGAAAATTTGCACTCAATCTTTGTACAGCCCGTTAGCTCTGCTCAGCTATCTCATCACTTAACCTTTGAATTGGCCGCAAAGCTGCCTTTCTGCAAATTTGTATTGTCAACAATCCCCGTCTGTATTTCAGAAACAGGTTCAGGCCAATGTGTACGTTAATATGGAGACAGTGAAAGATGCCTTGGAGCAGCTCCGAGGGGCTGTCATGATTGTGTATCCAATGGGATTGCCTCCACATGATCCAATTAGGATGGAGTTCGAAGATAAAGAAGACTTGTCGGGAACTCATGTATGCAGTAATGTATCCCCATTATATGTAGTCCTGGGTTAAACATGGGATATGCTGTTCTTTGTCTTATCGGTGAAAGTTGTTTTCACCTCCAAGAGGGAGAATTTGTTGCCCAAGGTGTTTATATTAGATCAAGTTTGAATGCAATATAAATAAAAATAGCATAGATGAGTATGAGGAGAAAGACATAGAAGTAGAGTGTAAAATTGCACTTCATATAGGAATTCCAGAAAGATTTTTTTTTTTCCCTGAAAAAAAACCTAGTTTTGAAAAAAAAAGCAAGAAACAACACCCTCCAAATCTTCACCTTGTTTATTTTGTCACAGGCTGGAACTGAAGTTATAAAAGAATCAGAAGCACAGTTGTGGTGGGCAGGAAAGCAGTTAGAAGAAACAAAGTTGCTCTCTGACTATGTAGGCAAAAATGAGAAAACAACCATCATTGTCAAGATCCAGAAAGTGAGTATTGCTAGGAAATTTCTCTACAAGTTCCACACCCTTGGTTGTCTGTTTTCTGTGGAAGAGAACTATCCACAGGAGTATAAAATGGATTAGATTAGTTCCAGCTTGAGCATCTTAAAATTGTGCATCTATTTTAAGGTTTGAATGGATTGTACTCTGAGTTTTTCTTCAGTAATTCCTTAGCCTATCAGTTACATACTGTAGTTGCTGTTTCTTGCTCCATATTATTTTTGTGAAGTACAACAAAGAGGTGTTTAAAGAATAGAGGAAATACAAACTGTGAAGTTTTATGGCAAATCTTGTCACCTGCAGTGGGTTCTGTGGTGCATCCCTGAGAGAGATAAGTCAGGTGATTTATGTGTTTGTCACTTAGAAGATCAAATTTGCTTTCTCTTTGCTCTCAGGGTCACTGGGATATGGTGTAGCATCTCAATAGCCACTGAAGTGTAGGCTCCCAGGAATGCTGTCTGTTTAATTAGTTGAAGGACTTACTCAAAGAGCAAGAGCAGTACAGGGGTTCCTCTCTGTCTAAACTGACTCAGGCCCTGTTTGTTCTCGAGAGCATCCACCATTTCCCTGCAAGATGCTATGTTTGCAGTTGTTGACAGCACGTGTTTTCTGCTTTTTCCATAATTTCTTCCAGGGGCACAGTTGCCTGGATAAGAAATTTCCTTTTATTTGTAGTGGTTTGTAGCTCCCTTACTTCCCTGCTTTACTGACTCCTATGCCATCTTGTATCTGTATTAGTAGGGGAGCTAAAGATATGGGCCCATCCTGAGATATCTAGAGTGACCTTAAAACGGATTTATTATATATTTTAAAGTAGAAATTTATGTGAAATAGACTTAATCCTGTTTGCATCTTCCATTGATGTCCACAGAATTGACAGCATGATTCAGATACAGAGATGAAAAAAAAAAGCTCACTTGAAAAAATAGCCCTCACTTCCCTGTGAGGGTGGTGAGGCCCTGGCACAGGTTGCCCAGAGAAGCTGTGGCTGTCCGGTCCCTGGAAGTGTCCAAGGCCAGCTTGGATGGGGCTTGGAGTAACCTGGTCTAGTGAAAAGTGTCCCTACCCATGGCAGGGGATGGGAATTAAATGATCTTCAAGGTCCCTTCCAACCTCAACATTCTATGATTTTATGAAAGCAGCCACAGTTTCTCAGCATTTAGTTTCCTGTCCAGAGGGACCTTGTTAAATCTGAGCAATCCAGTTGTCTGAAGAAGGGTTTTGGATGTATTTATGTGAGCAGCTTCTCCTTTGTATCACAAATGCCATCAGCAACATTTACAATTTCCATTCCAGAAAGGACAAGGAGCTCCAGGGCGGGAGCCTGTGATCAGCCATGAAGAGCACAAAGAGATGATGCTGTACTACTACAGGAAGCAGGAGGAGCTGAAGGTAAGTGTTCCTTTGGTGCCCGAGAGCTGGGCTGCTCTGACAGAGCTCAGGCTGAGTCCCTCACTGCCTCCCCCCATCTCTGCCACAGAAACTGGAGGAAGAGGACGACGACTCGTTTCTAAATGCTGAGTGGGCAGACAACCATGCTCTGAAAAGGCAATTTCATGGTGTAAAAGACATCAAATGGGGTCCAAGGTGAAGCTCTGCAAACCCCTTCTTAAGCTGCTCGGTTGATGCTCTTGTTTGAAGGAAGGAGTTGTGTTATTTGTGGTAGATTCTTCTGACAGCAGCTGAAATTGTCACTTCTGTGACCTTAGGTGTTCAATAAATGTTCATATTTCTCTGTGACTGCAGCAGCACTTTCCTCTGCAAAGAAATGAACAAATTCTCTTGACATTTGGTATTTTATTAGAAACTTGTAATTTGGATATGGAAATGTAAATCTGTTTCATAGATAAGAGATGTAGTAAATACGCACTGGAATGTTTGATGTTGTTCAGAGTGGTCTTTGTACTCTCTTCTCAGTCTTGTATTACTATTAGATGGTGTGCTCTGGAGAAGGTAATTTATTTTATAGGAAATCAGTTTCGCCTGACTAATCCAGGGAGAATTAAGGTTTTTTATGCGCTTGTTCACATTCAACATTGTTATTTCCAAACGTTTTGAAATGAGTTAACCTCTTAATAATTGTTTAAAAGAAGTGTTTTTATATAAACATTAGTAACATCTTTGTGGAATGCTTCATTTTCGTTCTTTGGGTTTAGTTTTTCTTGCTGATATATAGAGGTTGACAGTAATTTATATAAAAAATAAGTATCATTTGCAGATAGACTGGGTAAACCCAAGTTTAATAGGACCAGATCTTTTAGGAGGGAAGTAAAAAAATCATAATCTTCTGTATTATGCATGGTTGAAGAGACATTGATCAAGTTAAAAGTCAAGTGTTTGCTGAACTCACAGCTTGAAGATTGGATGCGGAGAAGATAATGAATGCCATTCATGAACTATTAATGGTGGTTTTACTTCATTCACTGATTTTTTTTTACTTTCACGGAAGTTTTGTGTCTGGTAATTTTTCTTGAATCTCAACTTTACAGTAACATGACTTTTTGCAGAAAGAAAAATCAGTATTTCTGAGTTGAAAAACTTCAGATATTTTAAATTTAAATTATTTAGAATTATTTCACATGGCAAAAAAAGCTTTTTGAAAAAACACTTTGTTCTTCCACTTCCTAAGAGGAAAATCAGTGTCCTGGAGCATATAATATTCTCATTTCCTCTCTGAAAGCCAGGGAAGAGCAGGCATAGGAAATATTTAACACAGATTCTGCACCCCTTTGACTGCTGTTCTCTGCTGTAATTAGGGCTGGTTTTCTCTTTAGCTGAGCAAACTTTCCATAGCATTGATCCTTTTTGGAGTTCTCACAACAGTGTTTGTGGATCTGCTGGATTTATTTATTGCGGCTGAAATGGAATGAACTCACTGGAAAATGATTAAAGAGTACCAGAACCCAGGAAAGCCTATGGGTATTTAACTGTCCAAGAAGATTAATGAGATAGAAATACCACTCATAGGTTTGCAACTTTGCAAAAGCATTTTGTCTTTCTTGTAAACCACTTATTTTTGGAAGTTTGAGAGTAGTTGTGCTTTTCCAAGGAGAAAATCCATTCTCTCTCAAAGGAGACAGCAGAACATTACTAAGATTTTTGTTTTGTGGACATATCACCATCCTGATGAATGGAAATGGTTTCCACACCTGCTCTCTTTCCTTTTCTCCTTTTCATGGTTTTGCTTTCCCACATTACTCCATTCTGTGCCTCACCCAGGATTTGGAAGGAGTTATTTATTGCTTCCTGCAACCTCACCCAGCGTTCCTGGTGACAAACTTGAGGCTAATTTCAAGGCAGGAGTGGGGAGTTCAAACAGCCACACGAGCACTGCATGTTGCCTTCCATCAAGTTCAGATCTTAATGCTGGTTCATATAATTTCCAGATGTGTATCATGCCCAGAGCTGTGTGTGGGGCACAAAGCAGCTAGTCTGAACAACGTGCTAGCTCTCCTTTGCAGTATTTTCTCCTTAGGCTACTCTTCTGAGAAATTGCAGGGATATTCCTGCTGAAACTCCATCCCACACCCAGCCCTGAGTGTCCTTCCCATAGCATTGCTGCTGCTACCTCATGGCACCCTCCCTGTGGATACCTCAGCCCTCAGCCTGGAGAGAGTCCAGCTATGGCAGCTGCTGGTTTTGTAGGGCTGGGGACAGAGAAGTGCATACCTCATTAATTTTATGTTTTTTCTACTGGATACTTTGAGTGTTGTTTCAGAAAGATCTAAATAATTCATTGTCTGTTTATCAGGTTTTTATATGTTTATCTTCATTCTGACTCTCAGACTGCTGTGAACAGTGAATATTTGGAAGTGAGGTGAACCACTAATTGACACCTTTCCCCAATTTCCCCAAGCTCCTTCCTCCCTTGGAAAGTTTATGCAAGAAGAATAAAATAGCAACTCAAATGCAGAATTATAAATAATTCAGTCAAAGGAACAGATCCTGAGTGAAACTTGACCTCCCAGCCTGTAGCAAAAGCTGCTTCCCCTGCCCTGTTGAGTAGCTCCTGGTGCTGGGATTTGAACAGGGTCTATCACTATGTTTGAGGATCCATTTAAACAGGCAGGCATTAGCACTGCACTTTTTTTTTTTTTTTCCCTCAAAACACATTCCCAGTGTCTGTGAAGTGCTCCATCTTGGGAAGCAGCCACTTTTCTGGCTCCTGCAGGAATTTTCTACTGCCTGCTGGTGAGTGGTGGCAGGCAGGGAGGAAAGTCAGGAGGGGATCAGGTCATCAGTTAAATAATTATTTCAGTGTAAAATGTTGTTTTCCTCCAAGGTTGTAAAAGCAAGGAGAGGATTGGGAGTTGGGAAAAGCAAAACATTTTGCCCCAAGGAAAGGACTAACTTCTAAGCTGCAGACTGGTTTCTGCTGATCTGCTGCCACTGCAGTTTTCTTACAAGGAGTGAAGACCCTGGTTTCAGCTGGGAATCCCAATGAGGGTTATCAGATGGATGGATGTGTGGATGAAGTGAACAAAGTGGGGAAAGGACCTGTGTGCCCAGTGGCAGGAGCAAAGGCATTGGACACAAAGTGAAACACAAGAGGTCCCTCTGAATGTCACAGAACACTTTGGCTCTGTGGGGGTGGCCAAGCTCTGGCACAGGTTGCCCAGAAAGGTTGTGGAGTCCGATCTTTGGCTGGACCAGGTGTTCTCCAGGTGGCCACCCCTAGAGCATGCTAACTTTACCTTGTCTTGAGTAAAGTGAAGTGAGAAGGAAAGGTAACTCCCAGCTTTTGATAGGATGTCTGCTTATGGGCTGAAACCCCACTGAAGCTTCCCAATAAAAAATGAGGGAAGAAAACGCACAGATTTTAGTGACTATAAACATTAACTGCCAGTCAGATAACATCCAGAAAAGATCAGCTGTCCTGTGGGCCCCAGGCTCTCCAGAAGGGGGTTTCACCAGGACTCAGAGTTTTGGGGAGCCCATGAGAGCAGGGGCCCCTGGAGCCCCTGACCTCAGCACTGCAAGCCAGAGCCCAGCAGTAAAAAGAAGTGGATCAGTTTTTTTTAACTAGTATGGTTTGTCAGAAGGAGGAATTGTTGGGATGTAGATCAGTCCCTTTGTATCTAACTGGAAAATGGGTGGTACCTGCCCCATGAGTCAGGAGGAAGGAGCCAGATCTGACCCAGAGCCTCCCCAAAGGCAAAACTTGCCTTCTTCCACTCTCAGGACGAAGGCATGAGCTTCTCCAGACCTAAACCTATTAATCAATATTGTGCACAGCACAGGCTATGACAACTTCCTACTGAAAAGAGGAGAGTAGTAGACCAGCGGGATTGCAGCCAGGCTCTTGGGCTGTGCCCAACATCTCCTGCAGTTTCCCAGTGCTTTGGATGACCTCAAACCTCTGTCCATCTCCTTAGCCTCTCTTCCGTCCTCTGTAGGATGCTACCTGCTGGTGAGATTTTTCCAGTTGAGCAAGCTCCTTTCCTCCCTTAAAAATTTTTCCAGGCTTAATTTGACTTTGTATCAGCAGGAAATGACAAGTCATGACACTGTTTTCTTTCCAAGTGTTTCATACTACGCTCTACCTGGGCATATGGCATCTAAGTGGGGAAGCACAGTGAACCCATGAAGTATTACGAGTAGGAAGTGACATTTTTCCTCCTTTTGTTCAGTAAATTCCCTGTGGGCTGCAGCAAAAATATTGGAGACATTTTTAAGACAGGAAGGTAGGTCTGGTTTCAGCTTAGATACATTACTGATTTAATTTTCTCTCCAACTGAAACCAAATCTGACTAGTCTAACAATTTTCAAGTGAAGATTGCAAACTGATAAAAAATCCTGAGAATATGACCTGCATTCTAGTGCTGGCTCAAACCCTGCTTTAGGATCAGAAAAATGAACCCAGTGTTTCCTTTAAGTATTCTTAGTGTGTGGCAACTTCAAGAGTCTTTTATGAAAGCAGTAGCCATTTTGAAGCTTGTTCTTCGCAGATTTGCCAGCACAGGTAGCAGTAGGAGTGCAATCTTGGGCAGGTCTGTTCTCATGGTTGAATATGTCTGATTAAATATTTTCCACCTTTTTTAATATTCCTAAACATACATTTGGCAGTTACAGTGAAACTGTAAATTACAGCGAAAAGTAATCTGTACCATGAGTTAAAACTGTAGAGTGTTTTTCACAGAAGGATTTATAGACAGTCAAGGATGTGAAACCCTCTTTTTATTGTATATATTTCTTTTTATTTTACAAATAATTATATTCACTGATACAAATGTTCCTTCACAGAAGGTACATTTTTTTTTTAATAAAAGGGGTAGAGTGTCATCCAAAATAAGCCATTTATTGTTCATTAATATAAAACGTATTCATATTTCTAGGGGGTGTCATATCTAAACCACTGTTCATCCAAATTTCCTGTATGATCTGCTCCCTGCGCTCAATCCTTTCAGCCAGTTCCGCTGCCTCTGCTGAGTTACAACCTGAGTAAGAAGGTCTGTAAAGTCCATCTGTCTCATCCTGGGTGTTTGAAAGGGAGGAATCCTCCCCCTCCTCTTCTTCCTCATGTTCACTGCTCTTGTAGGCTCTGGCGCTCTCTGGCACCAGCTCATCCCTCTTCCTGTGCAGTTTCTGGATGTCACTAGGACACAACTTGCAGATCACAAAGGCACACAGTGTGACGATTAATCCCACACAAACGCTGGACACAAACAGGAGAGCGACTCTTTCAAGGTGATCTGCAGGCAAGAAAGCCAGGGCTTAATCATTGTACAAACTGCCAAGGCTGGTTACAGACCCTCAGCAGCCATTCCCACAGTGTTCTGTAGCCATAGGCACCCAAACCTCCTGACACTCACAGCCCAATCCTGCCAGCTCTGCCTCTCCAAACTGCTGGGCAAAAGTCTATTCTGGTTATGACACTGTAAAGTAACAACATGACCCCAACCCTTTATGAGCAGCTCAATGCTGTTGTCAACCAGCTACCAGAGCTCTGCACGCCTTGTTTGGTCTTTCCAGCCATCCTGCCAAAATGGGCCTTGCCCTCACAAGCAGGGGACATGAGAAGAGTGACTCTGGGCTCTGCAGCATCTCTAGACCAGGCTGAGTAGGGAGCACTTAGTGTTACTAAATCACAGAACCTGCTTCATCTCTCAGCAGAGGCGGCTGGGTTTGGGATGTTTTTTTGCTTTGTTTTGTTACTCCTTGATGATCCATGTATGTATGCAACCCAACATTTCCAAAGATGATGTCTCCAGTGCTCTCACAGGTCTGGGCCAGGTTTTCAAAACTATGGAACAACCAACAGTCCCCATTGAAAAAGAGTTTGAATCCTTCAAGGCAAGGGATATTCCCTAAATATCAATTATGCTGGGATTGTCTCATCCACAAGATTGTGATTATATTGTAATAATATCATTACCATAAACATGGGGTTACTTGTTGTAACCTTTGGAGTTGATATCTCCTTTTCCCACAATGCCATGATCTAGTAAGCCAAACAATCTCAGCCTCATTTTCCTACCTCTAATGTATGCGAACGTAGCCAAATAGTTAGAGCTAACAATAGTTCTATCTTCCTTTGGAAGTCTTGATTCCCTTGGATCAAGGTTGACACCTGTGACAGGAGGAGGTAAAGCAAATTCAATGAAGCTACTAAATTGATATTTACCCAGTAACTTTCCAGCTAACAAGTCCACCCATAACACAGGCAGGCCAGTGCTGTGCGGAAGGAACTACAGAACACTAGACCAAACAATAGCTGATAAGTTAAATAAAGTATAATTAATAAATTATGGAAAATATCAAACATCTAGAAAATGGCAAATTCATTTAACAGAGTCTATTACCAAGTGAAACCCTTTGTGCTTATTCCCATTGGGGTTTCTGAAATAATTTTACTTCCTGAAGCTTCACAGTTTTCCAATGGCCTTCCCAGCCCAACCACAACATGTGCTCCTGTTACTGGGGACATGCATCAGCCTTGTCCTTAACTTTGTGGCCTACAAGAAGAGCTGATGTTGGCATAACTTCAGGATTCTTCACCCTGAAACAACTACAATTTCACTTTTACTCTTCCCAGCATGCTGGCTCTAGGCAGGCTGGGCAGGTCACCCTTCCAGCAGCTTTGCCCTGACTGCAGGACTGTGTTCACATCCCACTCCCAGCCTGTCCTCTGCTCTCCAACATGAAGAGCAGCTCTTTCAGCAGGGTTTCCTACTTCATCACTTCATCTTTTCTATTTGCTACTTCCTACTACTTCATCCCAAACCCTGTGTCTGTGGTGGTACATACCGTCTTTCTGTTTGACAGAAGACTTGTTAGCAGGGACCAGGGGGTTGACTGCCATGAGGATAAATTTAGGAACTGCAAAGACAAAAGATAAATCATGTTCTGTTAGTCTTAAGAACCCTCTCCTCAGTTAATTACGAATCCCACTGCTAACCCTGGATTTCTGACAGTGATATTGAAGGCTGCACACAATTTTGGAGTACTTTTCCAATGATAATGATTGTGTGGTTCGTGTGAAGTCAGGGCAGCTCTGGACCTGTGTCGTGGTTTGACACGGAAAAAGAATTTTCTTGGAAGGAAGAGGTCAATTTGGATATTGACCAATTGAAGGTGGACACGCCTCTGAGAACACAGAGCGGTTAAAAGCAGAATTCCCAGGAGAACTCACTCTCTTTGGTTTTGGTCAGCGTGCAGTGCAGGACTCTCTCCTGCCCAACAACAAGCTGGGTGGGGGATGGGAAGGCCCATGGCCTGACTGAGGTAGGCCCAAGGGTGGAGGGACTGGAACCGGGCTGGCCCCCCGTAGATGGAAGGGTGGAGATATCTGGGATGTCTCCGTTCCCCCCAGCAGAGTCGAGAAAAAGAGAGAAAGAGACAGCGGCAGTTTTATCAGCAGTTCACTGTGGGGAAGAAGAGCTGGGGGGGGCCACAAGGTGCCCAGCTGCCTGTGGGAGTCGGAGAATCTGGGCATTGAGCCATCCCTGGGAGTTGGGACTTTTAACCCTTCCTGAGAAATGAAAGCTTTGTGAAATTTTTCTCCTCCTTGGTTTGAAAGAGAGGAAGAGAGACAGCTGGGACCCTGGGATGTTAGAAGGAGGAATTCTAGATGGGGGGGATGATGGAGTGGCTTTTGGCTGGACTTTTTCCTTGGTAGCCATAGGCGGAACCAATCTTCTCCTCCAAGAGAGACTGTATTTTAGGAGGATGCCAGTGAGCCAAAGAGACCTGTTTCAGCTGGGGAAAAGACAGAAGTGGAGCAAACAGAGGAAAGTTAGGGGGTTTGTGGTGGTGTCCCCTGTCCTCCAAGAAGAAGAAGAGAAGAAGATCTCTGTTCTTGGACCCTTGGCCCCAGGGGAAAATGGGGGGGGGGGGACTGTGGTCCCAAAAATTTAAAAATGGAACTGCTGTTTTTTCCCCTCTTGGCACGGCATTCTTGAAAGGAAAAATCCTAAAAGCAGTCTGTCCATCCATGCATTGGTGGTGAGAGCACTGTGCATGGCAAACTTTTTCTCTGGGCGGTGCCATGTGTGACATGGAAACACATGATGTGGCATCTGTGTTTCTTGGGGGGTCTGTGGCACAGAAGAGACTCCTCTCTCCCTTGATGGACTGGGTATCGATTCTCTGGAGGGTGGAAACCTGATTGGGGTCCAGATTGTGTCTCACTGTGGATTGTTGGAGTTGGGTGGTGGAAGGAGGAATGCTTTGCAAAGTTTTCATTTTGATCTTTGTGTTGTTTTTTTTCCTTTCTTTTTTTTTTCTTTTATAGTAGTAGCTTAATAAAGTTTTTTTCTGTTATTAAGCTTGGGCCTGCTTTGCTCTGTTCTTGATTGCATTTCACAGCATTCAATAGAGAGATTACATTTTCATGGGGGCACTGGCATTGTGCCAGTGTCAAACCATGACAGCCTGTGACTGGATTCACACCCCAGCCTGCTCCAGGAACATCAGTGCATCTCCATACAGCCTGGCAACCTGCCCCTTGTTCTCAGCCCCTCAAGGGTGTGCCAGCCAGTGGATGGAGACAAAATTGGCCTCCAAATTTGGCATAAACTGGGCTACAGCCAGATGATAAGTTGCATCTAGATACTGGGTTTGGATGAGGATAATTTACTTTCATTCTAAAATAAATGTTGAAGTTTTGTGTGATGTCATTTGCAAAGCTTCTGAGATGGACAGTTGCTGAGGAAGGTGGGGAGAATGGGAATAAGTGAGCTGCATCTTTCTCATTTCATGATTTTAATCCCTTGATAAGTGTTCACAGTCTTCTTCAAATAATTAAAAGAACTACAAACAGGTGCATTGTACAGGCAGGAGAGTTCTCATATTTTGTGATAGATGACTGGGCCCTTCAGCCACCCAGATCTTGGCACCTGTTTGTATACTACATGAAGGCAGATTGATTTTCAGACTGATGGGGCGGTAAAAAAAGAAGAAGTTTCAAGTATGATACTCACCTCTATCCCACATAAAAACATTTGCCAAGAAATAGTGTTGAGAGAGTTAAATGGAACAGAGGAGACTGAGGTTTGTAGCTTAGCATAAATTTCTCTTGGAAAACAACTGAAATTAGCACTTCTTTCTGAGCAGAACTTTCCTTTCTGTGTGGGTTCAAAGTCAGAACTGTTTCCTTTCATGATGAAGGAATCCTTCTGGGAGTCTTAACTCCTTTTTGCAATGGAAGGCCAACAGATAGAGGCATAAATAATCTAATTTCTCTTTTGTCTTGTACCTTGTGGTAGTTTGTAGCTGTTTTCCAGTGGCAGAATACTTTCCTTGGTGTGTAGGGCAGACAGGGAGCAGGATTGTTTCCAGCCTGCAGTCTGCATTTGCAGGCCTGGCTGTTCTGAACAACATGCCTGTGTGGTGAAAACCATCCTGGGAGGACATGGCTTCTTCAGTGCATGGTATGGGACTCCTTCACCTGTGCTGATGTTCCTCTAGCTCCCCTCCTAGGGGGATCTTCCCAGGGCTTTGCTAGCTCTTTTCCCTTATGCCATTCAATTATTTATTGCAGGGGAATGTTTGTTTCAAAATGGCATGGACAGAAAGAGCCCCTGGCTGCTTGCATTGCTGGTTTTTATTATGGTGCCTTTCAGATGCAAGGACTTTGGTATAGGCTATATCAGGTCACTGAACGAAACAGCTGGTACCAGGATAGGAATTTTTATTAAGATAATCACATCTGTTATTACAACTTTTGCCAGCATTACTTTGGCAAGTAGGAGTCAGCCACCTCCTGCAGGCTGCCAAGGGCAGCCCACAAAGGGACTCTGGCATCCAGGGAGTGCAATACACTGTGGGGCTGCAGGAGCCATGTTTCCTGAGAGAGTGTTCCCTGATCCTGAAGTGCAGGCTCAGCAAGAGCCAGGAGGTCCCACCTCATGTAGACAGGAGATGATGCTGAGCAGATCACTGGGGGCACTGAGACTTCAAGAAACCAGCACCTCCTAGCTCCTGTCATGTTTTTACTCTCAGGAATTAACTGCAAGTGTAAGAATGCAGCTAGACATGCTACCCTTAAACAGCTGCTGACCACTGGGTGGGGAGTATGGGGTTTCTTCACACTCCTGACCATGACAGAGATACTTTGCAGTGTGTTACAGCCCTGAGAACAAAACTGCTCTACTCTGCTGAGTTCCTGTCACTACAGGGGGAGATCTATTTGCATTGTCTTGGGAAGCATCAGATTAGCAGGCATCCTCTAGTGAGAAGAATGAATCTAAACTGTCATTCTGGAATATGCCAAATTCTTCCCATGTTCATTAGATGGTCTGTAAAATAATTGGATCTGCAAATCATTGGTTTATGCTTCAGACTTCACAGCTCAGTAAGATTTGGCAGAAGAAAAACTCTTCCAAATGTGCCAGCAACACAAAAGAACACCATTTCTTACCCACGTTTTTGCAAAACCACATCCCTGAATAACAGAACACATAATTCCAGTGCAAACAAACTCACTCTGCTTTTCAGATGTGCAAAGAGGAATGATTTGTTGTAATTATGCTTATGCTAATTAGAGAGAATTACATTTACTCATTCATAAAGGCAGCTGCACTATAATATAATGTATTGGTCCAATGGCAGATTCCCAGATCTCTCTAATAATAGGAAACTGAATTACTGCACCACCTTTCACAGCTGACAAACCAATTCCTGGGGAGACTGAAAATCTGTTGGGTCTTATTTTCCTCTGATCTTCCGCTAGAGGTGATCTGGCCATCAATCTTACACTGTTGTTCTTAAAAGCATGTCTCAGGTAACCTGTGCCGTTTGATTACTACTCAAAAGGGATGCAGCCAAAGGACTCTGCAGTATGTACCCGTGGAGCTGCTCCTATTGAAGTATTTTAGGGAATTCTGCTTGCCTCTTATGAAATTATATTAATCTATAGCAAACAATATGGAAAACTGTTCCCTCTTGTCTGAGGAATGAGCTGAAGTACTTTGCAGTCCTACAAGGGATGTATAACCTCAAACCTTTATTTTTCAAAAACCTTCACTTGCCTTTCCATGAGAAAGGAAACCCCTCTGTGAGGGAGAAGCTATAGATGTACTCGCATATATCAGGTTTCAGGACTGGGGCTTGTACACAGTGCTTCAATTATGCTGGACTGTTTTACCTACACGGATGCCAGGCAATGCCAGTTTATTTTTCCTTGCTCTGTTGCAGGTGAGCTCTGTGGAAAAAACTCTTATCTTGATAGTTCTCAAAAATACTGAGCTACATAGTTGATATTTTATGGTCAGTTGCATTTTTTATAGCAAAAAAACCCTTAATGCCAGTCTTTGTTAGGTGCCGCTGAGCCCACAGGGTTGTTCATGTGTTTTGTATAGCTGTGTCACAAACTTCCTGTGTTAAAGGGAAATGGATATTTAGGAAGGGTCAGTGCCCATATGTGGACATTTCTGCAAGCAGAAATGAGGGCTTGAAAATGATTGTGCATTTGCTCTTACCACATGCATAGCTGACATTTAGGTATTTTGTCACTCCAGGTAGGCACGGACTTCCAAAATCCTGGCTAGTGACAATGATTTTGCATCTCTGTTTCCCATAACATCTTTTTGATAACACTTCCAGCGCTGTGTAAGACAAACAGTCTGAAAGAAAAAATACATATAATAAATATACAACACCCTGGTGTTATCTGAAACGAGAGCTGCTGGATGCATGACTAGAGATACAAATCTGCACCTGATCTCAGGTGTAACTTCATCTTAACAGGATTTCAGGGTTAAATATTAAGATTTGTCAATGCAAGGAAGTCAGGTGCAATAAATATGTAAACTTGCAGCAAGGTAACTCTCCCATGTTGCCTTACAGGTGCATACTAAGGGTGCAGAAAGAGACTCATCAAGCTCCAAACAGGTGCCCAATATAAGGTCTCAATGTTACATTCAGGATGTGTTGGAAAAAGTAAGCACATCCAAATAGCTCTCCATCTATGCCATCTCAAATCAAGAAAGATTAAATGCTGTTTCCAAGTCTATTTCTTGGCCTTGGGTTACTGAGATGAGTCAACTGGATATCCAAGTTCAGTTCAAGTCAGGTGAGATCAATTTTTATGTGTTGCAACAGCTCAGGTTACAGGGAAGTTCAGGGTATTAAAAAGTAGCTTTTGGTTTAGTATGAAGAGGTCAAAATGGGCTCAATATTTAACCAGGGAAACATGTGGCTTCCAATAATGAGTTTTGCACTGGAGCTGGAATTATTTGAGTGGGAAAGTGTGTGAGTCACACTCTGCTTTAAAAAAAAAAGAATGTCTCTAAATGTAATCAAGTACTCTGTATCCACACGTGCTGAACTCCAAGCTACAAAGCACAAAACACCCTGTAGTTTTGGTTTCTAAACAGAAAGGATGCAGAAAGGACAAGTTTGGAGAAAATAATACTTCTCATAATCTTTTTACATCACCCCACACACTGTGGCTTTCTGTGTATGACAGATATGTTTCATTCCAAGCCTCTGAGGCAAGGGTGCTCTCAAGGTCTAAAATGTCATTCTCTGGGCATTAAAATAGTCCCTCTTCCTGCAATAAAGGATGGCCTCCAGACACCTGCCAACTGCAGAAGCTCATTTGTGCCTCTTTTGAGGAAGGACAAACACTGTTTGCAAAGATACTCCAAAGGTTCCCCAAATCTGTTTGAAAAGAAGAGAAGGTTTGAGACTGAGTTCTTGACATTTAATGTTTGCAAGTGGGGCAGATTTGTGATTTTTAGAGTTAACTCCCTGACACCAGTACTAAATAAGTCATATACCTGGGCAGAGCCATCAGGAAATGTTGGGCTGATGTGCCTGGCAAAGGGCTTGTGGATTGCTTTGGACATGGATTTTAGGACAGAGCTCTTTGACTTTTCAGAGACCTAAAATCCCAATACCTGTGTGTCCCAAGAGAGTGCTGGAAGGAAGGGAAGGGCTGGCCTAAAGCATTGAGTGGTTCTGATTAAGTAACTCAGCAGTTTTAGTTTTCCTCCCTGGCAATTCCAGGTGAGTAAGGATATATTTTGATGGACTTTTTAGGCAGCCAGTAGCTTACTTTGGCAAGTACAAAATCAGGTGGGGAGTATCAGGAGGAGATAGATTGGGAGCACAAAAGCAAAATGGATTATGTTTTCTATAGAATTTCCTGTCCTGGGAGCTACTCTGGGTGCCTTATAAAACCAAGAGGATGCTGTGCTGATGGTTTTCTACATATTCAGTGGTATGGCAAGTGTATGTTTCATTTTGCCTTTGCTCATGTTTCTGTGGGACTTAATAGCTTCTTATCATCTCTATCCATGTTGGATTTGGCTCTTCTGCCTGAGGAGCCAGTTAGTATATGCCTGCAGGTTCTTGGCAGGCCAGTTTTTGGAGAACCTCCCACAGCTTGCCTGGTGTCACAGGTGAGTCAATGCAAACTGTGGCCTGTTTCTTCTGCAGGCCAAGGACAGACGTTACCTGGAAAGCATTATAACATAAATAAACCTATTTGAAACTTCTTGCATTCTGAAAAGATTTTGTGTTCCAGTGATGTAACAAAAAATCCTGTCTGGTTTACATGTGGCCTTGCTACCTTCCCAGTAGTTCTCCCAGCAGCTATGATGGGATTAACTTGAATAACTTACCCTCCTCCTGGTCAAACACCGTATTCCAGTGACTGAATGAGGAGAGGTCAGCACTGTGTTTTGAGTAAAAGAATCCCCATGGAATGGCCCCAAAGAAACCATAAATTGGGAGATGAACATAAATAAGCAATGTGGCTTCTTTCTGACTAGAAAAGTGCTTTTGATCTACACAGATATCCCTGAGGCTTGTTAGACTGGAACCATTTTCAATATCCTGCCTCTGGAAAGGCACATTCCCAGAGTGCTAAAAGGCTGGTGGCATCCAGCAGTGGCAGGCAAGGCAGCAGTATGTGGCTGGGAAAACACTCCATTCTCCATGCCTTTCTCCCAAAGTTGCTTGTTACACACCAAGACTGTCGGTGGATCTTTTGTACCAGACACTGCTATGGATGGCACGGGGACATGGGTGTCAAGACAAGGTTCTTAATGCAGTAATAAACTATCCAATCTGACTGCAGCTATTTAATAGTTGGAGCAAAAAGCCTTGTTTCTGGAGGAAAGGCTCTTTCAGCTCCCTAATTAGCTTTGTTTTGGAAAGTTTTGGCATGCAAATGACATGCCATAAATCACACAGGCTTTAATGAGAAGTAATTTATCTTCTGGTTTCTTAAAGCTGCTCTCAATTCAGACAGGAGGAGCTTTCCCTCCCTTCCTTTTCACCACACAAAACCTGCAGGTGATGGAGCATCTTGTGCCAGGCTTTGGCAACAGCGTCCTGTCTCACCCTCTTCAGATGCTTCCAACTGCTTTCATCCCCAGCTACTCCTTATGCTGCTTTATGACTTCTGGGCTGTGCCCATACACAGAAGAATAAGGAGCTCTCTTTTAAAATCAACTGAAAGCAAAGATTTCACACTTCCAAATCAGGATGGCTTGTGCTTTGTAGAGCCCAGATACCAGCTGTGGGGACAAGAACTGACAAGGGGAAACTGTGGAGTTTGGAACAAGCTAAGGCTGCAGACTCCTAAAGAAAGTTGCTGAAATAATATGGTAATTTATGCAAGAGCATGGCACACAGGGTCCTGCCTGTGCATCAGAAAAAGGCCACTGGAACTGCTGATTCCAGCAGAAATACACAATGAGATCGGCAGCACTTTTGTGCAAAAAAACTCCAAACATGGTGTGTCCTCCTTGTGCATGCACGTGCAGAGTGGGGGACCCACCCCACCAAACACCAAGGGTAAGAGACAAGTGTGGCTCTCCATTTCCTGACAGCAGGAGCCAGACTCCCTGCTTCTGCATGTGCACAGGCAGGAGTTCCTTGGCTCCTTTTAGACTTGAGGGCCAAGTGTACTTTTCCAAATCTTTCACAAATGTGAGCCATGAAAAAAATAGACCGAAGAAACCCCTGAACTGCTGGTAAAGAAAACATTACTGGTTGAAGTGATGTGTGTCTCTGTATGCTCCAAGCAACTTCCACTAGCGAAATCTGATCTTCCATGTTCATCTCAGAGGAAAGTTGTTTGGACTCTAAAAATGGTGGCTGGTCTCTTCCTGCCTTCAAATAATCACTCCTCATCCTGCTGCTGCACTGAAAACCCCTTATTTTAAGGAAGTTTTGGCTTGACAACATTCAAAGGGTTGTCTTGACAACATTCATAGGGGTGCAATGGCTCCTACTGGTGCCTCTTGGGGCATGAAGCACCTATTTAGCTTCTCAGTTTGCTCAGGCTGACACAGGCAAGGACCTTTTAATATCTGATGTGTGCACATAGAGAGAGCTGACTTAAGTGGTTTTGTGGTGGAAGCAAAATTGAACTATTTTATCTTTACTTTTGCATCCACAAAAATTGATTCCTGTTTCCCATGCCCAACGTGCCAAGGCAGTGTGGAAACACGTCCAGACCTGCCTAAAGCTGCTTGTACCTTCACTTCTGCTGTTACTTCTGCTCTCAAGAGACCTTCCCAGGGGACAGGCTCACACCAGGCAAAGAATACATCTTTTAGTAAGAGACAGAAGCCAAAAGCTTTTCAGTCAGTGAATAAGAGGCTCTTTGAATTGGCTCCAATATCCAAGCAAACAAACAAACAAAAAGAATCACAGCATCATATAGTCCTGTTACATTAAAAACATCATGACACCTAGATGGACTGGAAGGAACCTAGAGGATTTTGAAAGTCCCCCTTGCTTGACTTTCTCACCCCTCCTTCTTGCCTGAATTCCACTGGGAATAAAGAGGAAACTAGGACAAAGCCCAGTCTTAGCACAGTGTAAGCTGTGATGAGAGTTTGTGAATTCTCCACCCCTCCTCTCAACCCTCCAAAAGTGGGACCTGGTAAAAGAGAGGGCTGTACTGAAAAGAATGCCACCTTCCAGCAATGAGAACTGTGACAGGGGTGGAATTCAGGGCTCTGCTGGCTGCTGGTGCTTGAGGGAACATACATCTGACCAGCCAATGTGCATCCAGAGGAATCTCTGGGAAGGATATTGCAGTGTTCTAGCTTGCAAGTTGAACCTAGAGACAGCCCACTAGCAAGCCTTCTTTCAAGTATTTTCATGTATTAACAAGAGTAATGTATTATTTGAGAGGTATTTGTTGACCTGAATCTTCCTGGTGCTTTCTATGGTAACCTGTTCTGGCACAATTCTTTAACATTTTCTGACCAATAAATCTTCTGTTTCCTCATGCACATGTTAGTACAAATATAAAAGAGATAATGGGTCAGAAAAGGCAGCAATTCTCACAGGAACAGACTGCTGTGGTTTCCTGCTTTGGTGCTGGGCACAGTGGATTCCTCTAGGCAGAACCATCTGCTGCATAACCACACCCAGAATTTTCTTGTGAAATTTTTGATAGTTTTAGTAAAACAGGAAAGTTGCTTGCTGGAAATTCTGTACAGGCTTAACAGTGCCAGGCATTTGGACAGCTGCAGAAGCTGGTTTTTACCATTAAACTGGCTAAGAAAACCAGTTGTTTGAGTAGATACTCATGCTAAATGTGGAGGGTGAGGCTCAGGATCCTACAAGTGCTTAAGATACCTCCCACAGCAGAGATGGATTTATATAATTTATTTTCTATATGGAGAAGAGCCTTTATGCCAAAGAAATGTTATGTTTTCCTGGGTCCCCTTTGAAGCAAAGCTCTAAAAATCTGTCAGCTGATTTGACAGGTGGTTCACAGAAAAGCAATGCTTGAGATCAGCACATCTGTGCAGCACAGAGCTGCTGTTTCTCACTGCTGTCACACAGGCACATTTAACTTTCTAGTGTGCCTCCACAGCCTTGGGATCTGGTCACACAACAGCATCTAAAGCAATGGCCCTGCCCCGTGGAGCCTCTCTGTGCAGGCTGCAGCTAATGCAGGGATTATCTGGCAGAAACAGGTATCAGAGAAGAAGGAGCAGTAAGACACAGTATCATGACACGCAGGTCACTTGGTCATTGTCAGAAGCTGGAGGAAGAAGGGAGACAAAGATCTGATATTTAGTATATGTCACCTAAATTCAAGACAGGCAAGGGAACTAGTTTTTGAAGCTAATTATACTATGAACTGATTAACCAAATGAAAGTTCATTATTTTGCTTCATTTGCTTTGCTCTATGTGCCTCCGTCATATTGGGCAATTAGTTTGAATTTCAGAAATAGTATCTTTCAATTTCCATCACAGATGCTTTCAAAACAGCATTGCTCTTGCACCTGAAGTTTCTGCCCACCTGTGTTCTCTCTTCCCTGTGTTACTGCCTAGAGAAGGTCCCTCAATGGTGCCCAAACATACCAAAGGGGGGTGTGTGCTCCGCCTTTGTTGAGCAGATGCTCTCCTCATGTGCCCATCTGCCATAGGTGGCTGAGTAGATGATAAGGAACTTGGATTCCTGACAGTGGAGCTTCAGTTCCTGGTTTTCACATGCTGATTTGGTTTTGTATTCAGCTAAAGTAGAAGCAAAGAGCAATATGATAGTGTGAGGCAATTTAAATACCTGGACTGTTAATAGCAAATAACAGCAGGACAGAAACCAGCTTTCCTGCAAGTTGCAAGTGACACGTGGCACCTGTACAGCTAGACACAAAGTCAAGAGCAGAGTGTTTTTTCCAAATGGATTGTGTCCAGGTGACTGCCTAGAGCCTGTGGCTCCATCTCAAACAGAATAGAAAATTCTAATCTTGCAAATCTCCTTTCCCAGTGAAACAGCCTCCCTGCTTTCCTGGCTTTCTTTCCACTCCTGCTCAGCAAGAGAAGCTTCATCCTTGCCTTTTGTCTCTCCTCGGGACACTGTTGCATTCTACACGTGCCTCAGCTGCCTCTGCACACTCATCAGCAGGGCAGGGCTGGTACTGCTCAGTAACAGCGCTGGGCGAGGCTCGGACAATGACAGGAGAGAAGGCCAGGACAGGGTCCCCATCCCAAGCCAGACAGTGCTCTCAGCTGTATTTGCACTGTTCCACCAAGGTCACCGGGTTTCCCTGGGCAGCACTGTCCAGCAAGGGCTCATTTGAAAGTTTGGCTGGCAAAGTGATGTGAATTAGGAGCCAGAAAAAAATCCCCCGCTCCCTTGCTCAGCTGGCACAGGCACCCTGGCAACACCATCAGCAGAGGTGGTGAAGGCACTGAGCTCATCTTCATGGCTTATCCCTCCTAGGGTACCCCTTTAAATTTGCTACCTGGCCAACAAGGCTCTTCCTGGCTTAAGCAGCCACTCTGTTCGTGGCACTTTACCTTCTTACATCTTTCTGGTTGAGCTGTGGTGCCAAACATTTTTATGGCAGATAAGGTCAAGGAGAAGTTTTTTCTCCTCTGATTTTTTGTCCTCAAAAATGTGAAAACAGGAAAAGGGGATTCCTAAGCTGAGCAGAAGAAAGGGGAAACCTTATTGTTAGTCAGTGGTGCTCCTGTGAGTGGAGGTTGGATGCTGGTTCTTCGGGAACTGGAGAGAGAAAAACCTCCTATCTACTCATGAATGAAAACATCACTGTTTCATTCAAAACAGAACAGATAAAACAATGGGTTAATGTTCTTGTAATAGTCCAGTTTTTTCCCAGTCAAGCAACAGCCACAAGCTTAAGTGCAAAAAGGAGTGATTTTGAAAAAGATTTTGAAAACATTTTTGAAAACATTTTTTGAAAAATATTTTGAAAACATTTTTGAAAACATTTTGAAAAATACTTGACCTACTGCAGGTTGTGACTTCTGCAGAAGCACCTGCCATGCTGTGCACACATAAATAGGCCAAAAACCTGGGGTCTGTGCCCAAGGACTGACAGCCTGCAGCTGGACTCTGAGTTTGCCTGGGTCTGTTGGAGAGGCTGTGGAAGTATGCATAACCCCAAGTGGTATCAGACAAGGAGAAGATAAAACATACAGTAACAATAATTCTAAATATGTGAAAAAGCAAGGGATTTAGGCAACTGCTTAAGTACCCACTTGAAGGCAAGAAACTGCAAAATATACTTGAAGTTATCCTGAAGTGATTTCATGAGTAAGGATGTTTTCCACTGCCAGGACTAACAATATTGATATCTTACCTACAAATATAAATTTCCTGTCACTAGAAATCATGTAATTTGCCCTGGAATTGTACTATTTCTCAGTTCTGAAGGCAGCAGCTGCTGTTGAATATGCTTTTGACCAGCTTTTTAAAAATTCAGATCACAGAAAATACTGTATACTCAAAGAAGTTCATCTCCCATGGGAAAAAAATATTAAGCAGCTTCTGAAAGTAATAAACAAGATCCCTCCCAATTCACTTTTGATTAGCAAAAAGAGATTTCTAATGACACAGACACTGCTATGATATTCAAATCCATCTACTATTAATAATGGACTATTAATCTACTACTGATAATTGCAATATACAAAAATAATTAAACTATTGATACAATAAAAGAATGAAAATCTTAAATTTGAGGCATTTTTTCCCCCAATGAGTCTCCCACTGTATCTCCCTGGGAGTTCTTGAGTCAGTACTTTTCCAAAGGTAACATCTACCTACTCCACTCCATTTCTCTGCTCTGACTTCCACTTTCCATTGTGAGCTGGCCCTTCAGTTTGCTTGCCACCTCCTCCTGTTCTACCACTGATATCTATCTTAGTGCTCTGGTCAAAGAAAAGCCCCTTAGTGCTTTCTCCTTTGCTTGCAGGTTGGTACTTCTGTGTTGGCTGGTGAACCCACCCATAAGTCATCATTCAGCTGTTTTCTTTGGGACCCATTTCAGCCACATGGGGAATTCACTGCTGAAGGAGATGAACTCCCAAGCTGCTAGAGCTAATTCTCACATACCATAGCAACAAGGAGAACAATTAAAAGCCTCATGAGGATTATTTTGATCGTTCTTCCTCTTTCCCATGTTCACAAAGTGGATTCTCTTTGAGGCAGGATTTGTCCCTTCACATACCATCATTGAATACCTGCACAGAGCACAGGTGGTTATACAATAAAAGCCTCTAACCAAGTCAGCATATATATCTTCTGGCCATTATGCCATAAACAGGAGGTATTTTTGAATCTTTGAAAGCTTTGGGCTCAGCTCCTTAAGTATTTTTGGCATATTCCTTCCTAGGATACCTTCTTCATTTGGATCCTTAGCCCAGGCATCTGGTTTTGCTGTTCAGATCTTTGCTATCTCACTAAAAATAATTTCCATAACATTTTTCCTATCTAGTCTGATGTCTGACATCTGCCTCTGCCAAACTACACTGGCAGCAAGCACGCTGAAGCTGCAAACACAATGGAGAGCTAAGATAAAGTAGAAAAGAACAATTTGTTATCAATCCAGGAGCCCCAAAACCTCACATGGATTTATGCAAAGCCTTGTGCAGTGGTATTTAAACCAAAACAAGCAACAAAACATGCAGAAAAACACATTTGCCTGATAAAGATTACTTACTAGGTTTGCATTTAAAGGAGACAAGGAGGAATTTAGTGGTTCCTGGACACAGATCAGGCCCAAAAACCCGACTATTGACAAGGAGTTGGCAGGATCTCAGGTTTTGGCATTCATCCAGTACTTTCTAGAACAATGGGCAAAAAGGATAGTCTTGATAACAAGGTATGAAGCAATACAGCAATGAAAACACTTGTACTTTGTTCTACACAGGAGAGAAATCACAAGTTTTTTGGCTATGAATATGCAAGAAACATCTGCATCATTGGATCTAGGCCATAGCTCTATGGACTTGGAGTCATGGCCAAGTCTAAAAAAAGTCGATGGCCAACTTTATGGGAACACATTCATAACAGTCACACTCACAGCAAATTAGGATGTTGCCAACTTGTTGTTGTTTGTCACTTTTCCCTCTGCCCCTGGGGAGGCTGGCCAAGTTCCCGAGTGCCACCACAGCCTCGGTGCAGAGCCTAGAGCACATGGAAACAAACTAAGCCCCCAGCTGTCTTACTGACATATTTGAGGCACTCATACACTCCTGAGAACATTTATGAGAGTGCAATGTCCAGGGAAAGCATGGCAACAAAAAAGGTGTCTTCTTAACCACTTCTTGATCTGCTTACATGTACCTGAACAAGTTCTGTAAATAATCTTCAGTTTAAAGAGTTCTGACTAATGACAAGTACAACTCAAGCTTTAAGCCCTGTGTAGGACCTCCTGCTTAAGGGACACTTCCTTCTCACTTGCAGTTACACACATTTTCACTCATTGACTTGCCACAAGCAAATTTCAGAATTGGTTTGATTGGATAACACAGATGTGCAAGTCTATCCTCAGCCTCCTTGCCTTGTTTTGTGGGGTGTTTTTAATGCTGTTCTAAGGCCATATCTACTCCAAATTTTTTGGCCCAGCAATATATCCTGGTGCTGCTTCCCTGGGAGTGGCAGCAGAGGAAGACCACAGACAGGTCAGCAGTGTTACACAAAGTGTTATGTGGACTCTTTCCCAGTCTGGCAAAGGACTGAGTACTCATACTGATAACACTGGTGCTCCCACTCCAGCTGTGCTCTTGGAACTGTAGCTGCAGAAAATATGAGACATTGCCAGGACCAGTCTATCCAGTTTTTAACACAGTCAAAACACCTAAAAACACCCAGTTTAAATGCAGCAGTGTATTTAGGAAGTTCGTATTCACCTCCAAAATGCAGTTAAGAGAGGGCTTTTCTGACACTGTTTTTGGATAGTGTGTGTGGTTGTACACAGTATTCATGATGTTTAAAATCACAGCAGGCTGTGACAAAGAAGGGTGTTATCTCCAGGTCACCCCCACTCTTAACAGGAGTAACTATAATAAACCATTCTGATAGTTTTATGTAGTCGCTCAAAATCTATGGGAATTTTTGCTTTTTTTCTCTACAGAAGGTCTCAATCATACCAAGAGACCAAATCACAAATTTACCACTGTGGTGGCACAAGGTGCATTGCTATTTCCAGGCTGAGAGAGTTGGCAGTGGTTGGATCTCTGTTGTCATCACTGGAAACCTTCCCTCCCAAGCAGCAATGACACACATTGGCAGCACATTGCAGTGATCCTACAGCTCCCATTGGCAGAGGAAGAGGACATGCATCCAACACTTTTTCAGCAGTAAATTCATTCTAAAGGGTTTAAAAAGGAATGAAAGCATAGCAGACTTAATTTTATCACTCAATTTTCCTTTTACAGAGTTGCAAGTAAAAAAAAATAGCTCCTTAATTGAGATAGTTCTGGAAGGGGCCAGTGAAATAAAGTTACATTTTTAGTTAATTGAGATAGCTGCCCCCTGCTGAGTCACCTTCTGTTTGCACCTGAGCTGAATCATCTCCTGTGCATCTGCTTGTATTTTCTCCTGCCTAATGTAAACAGCAGTCACATTTTCTGTCATGATACTGTGAAAAAGCACGCAGCCACAAAAGCAAACAATGATACTCAAAATAGCACTGGGCAGTTACTGTCTCTAGCCAGATCCAGCTTTGCAGTAATCCCTGTGACAAGAGGTTTCTGTAATACATGCCTGTAATGCTTCCTCCCAGCTACAGGGCATCATCTCAGCTGTCTGTGCAGACTGCAGATACACTTCCAAAGGGAAGGGAAGGAGGGATGAGGTCACTGGTGCTCTTTTCTAAGAAATCACTTTACAAGATGTGTTCCTTCTACTTAACAGAACTGGAACTCCCTGAGATGCAAAGCATTTTTGTCTGACACAAATTCATGGCCTTGAGAAAATGCTATCATGTCTTGATCAACCACAGAGCCCAAATGATGATGGTAGTTTATATAACGGTTACCCCATGCTGTGTTTATTATATTCAAGGGGAAAAACTGCCCATGGGGACCTCACAAAGGTACTCACAAGCCCAAAATAATAATTGGTGCTACTTTACTGCAGCCAGTAATACAACATTAAGGATGCATCTGGCCTGCTGTTTTTGGTGGAGAGATGTACTTTCACGTGGCTCATAGGTCATGTCTGGGATGTCCTCAAAAATTGCAGTATATCATAGTTGAGCCACACTTACAAAATTGCCCTAATACTGTTTCTAGAGAGAGGATATCACTGCCAAACCACTTCATAACACCCTTCAACTCAGTGGTGGGAGCAGGCATTCCTTGATGTCAAGAAGAAATGTGTGGCCTAGAGACTGAAATGTTGCAAACTCCATCAAAACTTCTGTAAAGCATTTACAAGTTTAACAAACAGAACATATTCAGATTCCACTGACTACTCATTTTTGCAAGGATTTACTGAATTTGGAGCAACACTGGGTATTTTTCACTAAGATGAAAGAAGCCTTTGACAGCAGTGTAAGTCAGACCTTAATACAAAAGTCTCCACAGCAGAAAGTAATAATTGATGAAGTATAAATCATTTTAAGCTATACTGAAGCAGGCCCAGCAAACAAACCATAGGTTGTTGCTGAAACAAATCAGGTAGTCATAGAAATACAGGTATCTGCAGAAATTCTTGGGATTTGCTGTTTAGCTGTTGCTATACCTTTTCAGTGAGGGAAGACAGGCAGGCATTCAACAAGCCAAATGCCACTCAGCATGTCATCTTACTCACTGGATTTGTAACCCTGGTCTGTCCAATGCTTGTGTCCTCCCCTGGGGTCAAGGAGGGCCTGTGTGATAGATGAAGACTTGTCAACTCAGCCATGACCAGCCCTTGAATGGAAAGGAGTGGGAACTTTAAGAATGGGGTTTTCCAAAGCAAGGTTCATCACAACGGAAGGCAATCTTCAAAGCTCTCACAATCCTATGGTAAACCCTTCCAGCTGTAACACTTTTGGTGGTAAACTGCAGTAGTCTCGTTCAAGGTCGAGAACACTTTCACAGAAACAGCAGGGAAACCATCAAAACCATTCTGTACCTTTAAGAACATTTACAACATGTGATACCTGCAAAGAGGTGGGTGCCATGCAGTTCCTAGGTTCTATCATCCTAGGTTCAGGCTCCCAGGCACTGCACATGTGAGGGTCCTGCCCGTAAACTGCTGACTGAATGCTGATGGTTGAGTGCCGAGGGCAGTGCAGGCTGAGGTGCTGCCCGTCGCAGGCATAAGCGGTGTGATTCTGCAGGAGCTTCGTTAGGTAACCTAGAAAATATTCAGCTCTTTTACAACTAGCAAAGGAAATGACAAGCTCGTTAGATAACAAGAAAACCAAAATCAGTCTCCGGAAAGGGCATTGTAATCAAGGTTGTACGTCTGGCCTCCAGCCACCCAGTTCTCTGAATGGGTAACTCCTTATGAGCTCATAGCACTGTGGGCTGGAAAACACAAGGTCTCGTGGCAGGGAGTACAAGCCCTCCCAGCGCTCCAGCAGCAGCAGGATGTACTGTAGGGACAATACATGGGCTCAGGCCCTTGCCAGTCGTGGCTGCTCACGATCCCAGGACGTGTCTGCAGCACTCAGAAGGGTATTGCTGAGTTTTCTGCACCAGGTTCTTGCATTCCAGCCACCTAAGGTAGTCCTTATATGTCTTGTTAAAAGGATGTGCTGCACTTTTGGGCTCCTGGGCAGTTGTGTTTCACACTCTTAAGTATAATGGAGGAAAAAAAACCTGTCACATTTTCTTGTGAGAACATTTTCTCGTTGTGGCCAAATCAGGGGCTTTTTGTATTGTCAAAACAAAAATTTGTTTTCTCAAAGAAAATACTGAAAAAAGTTCACTCCTTTTAATTAATTAAAATTTGCCCTTAAAGTAAAATGTGCCATTTAATTTTCACATTTTTGTCCTTCATAAACTTTCCCCAAAGACAAGCGATTTTCAAAAATGTTTTTAAATAGGAACTTTAGTACTCCAAGCAAAACATAGGAAAATCATGTAATCATAGAATGGTTTGGGTTGGAAAGTTCCTTAAAGATCTAATTCCAACCCCCCTGCTACATTCCATTAGAGCAGGTTGCTCAGAGCTCCATCCAGTCTGGCCTTGAACACTTCCAGGGATGGGTCAAACATGTCAGTTCTCTGGCATCTTTTCCAGCTCCAGCTGTGCATCTGGATGATGAAAACCAGCTTCCCTATCAGTTATTAAGTCTGGAGGAAGGAGAAGCCTGCTCCATTGTTATCTTTACTGTTGCCATCTGGAGCCCGAGGAGGACAGGAGTCACGCAGATGCATCTTCCAGTGCAGCAGAGCTGTACTTGAGTTCCTCAGTCTGAGCACTGCCACTGGAACTGGGACAGAAAAAAATTCATGCCCTGCATTTGCACTCTGGACCTCAAAGAGACCAATCCAGCAGCAATCCCCACAGCTTAACAGGTTAAAAAGAATAACCAAGCCTACAACCAAACCCATCCCCTACATTTTCTGTGTAATTGAGATCACAAATAATTGAAATTCCTTGCCAGAGACCCTCCTCTGTCAGCCTGCTCCTGAGAGATGCCAAGTGCTGCCAGGAAAATGGGCCTAATGCCCAACTGCACTCAAGTGACTTCACTATGGCTAGTGCTCAGAGGGGCCTCCTGTGGCATTTGCTGAACACCTTTGGCACCACCATTGTGGCACAAAGGGCCATGGATGGTGTCAGGGTATTCTGCCCTACATGAGTTGCAGGCACTCAACACCCTCACAGATACCACCCAATATTTTTAATAATTTCAATTCTTCAGGTTTTAAGTTACTTGGGACCAAGAGTGCTGTATACAAAACAGTCCAGTATTCCCTAAAGAATATCAGATATGCTGTGATTTGGATGAGTTCCCTAGCATCCTAACTGCTACTTTGATTTTGTAAATTCTTAATCCAGCATCTAAGCACCTTTCTCCAACAATTGTAATTATTCAATCCTTTAAGAAAATGTCTTTATAAAAAACTTTCTCTGATTCTGTAGGAGCAGTATGGTTCAGTTGTAAAAATTACATTAGATGGACAGGTGAAAATAAGATATCTGGCTCTCCAACCTTAAACATGACTGCTGTTACTAAAATCTTTGTGTATTTGCACACAATAAGGGATAAAAATAGTAATGCAAATTACTGAAACCTAATGTTCTCTGATATGAGGAGTGGTGACATAGTATCTAAATGGCTTGTCTCACAAAACAGGCCACATAAACCTGCATTTTTCATTACTGCACACACAGACACACATGGAACAATCAGTACTTTGCAGCTCACAGTCCATGCTGAGGAAGGACTCCCACTCCAAAAGTTACAATTTCCTCTTACCCTTCTCTGAAAAACTCCAGGTTCTTTCCTGTCCTCATCCTGGCCCTCTCCTCACAGTGGGACACTGCCTGCCCTGCACTCATCAGCTTCCTCAGCAGCTGCTGCTTCTCCTCCTTTCCTGGGTAGTGTGGCTTGTAGTCACCCTGGTAGAAGCTTCACCTTCTTGAGACCATGCATATCCCTATATTGTGTACTGACTTCTGTTCAGAAACAGATTTTCCCAGAGGGAGCAAATTCAGTCAAACAACAATGTAAAGTTGGGGGAGAACTGGGTGTGATCTCTACCATTAATAATAGCCCTAGTGATCAGGAGTGAGGGCATTGTGAGGGTTGAACTCCTCCTGGGGCAGCTTCCTGCCCTCTCCTGTTTCATTTACTTCATCAATATCAGCTGTGAATTTGGGAAAAACTTTCTTTTATTATCTAAATATGGGAGCTGGAGGCTGTTCCTGGACTACAGCAGACCTCCAAGTCCTGGTCCTCTGCATGTCAGAGAAGTCTTCACTATCTCCTAGATGGCCAAGGAGATACCCTTTTCCTGAAAAACAGTGCAGAGGGAGGGCTGGAGCACAACCAGCATGGATGGAGTGAGGTTATGGCTCTGTGTTCGCTTGGGCAATCAGAAGACTTGTGAGTTTTGGGGTTTTTTACTTTGAGAATTGTAACCAGTCCCTATAAAAAACCTTAGATTACTTAATGTTTTAAACCTAATATTGGTTTCTTTTCCTTGTTTTCTGGGTAAGGTAATGGAGGGGGAAATGTGGTTCACCTGCACCAGTTACTTTTCCAAGTGTCCTGTAATGAGGAGGACAATAAAGTTCCTCTTTTTCAGAAATAATAAATGTCACTCTTTAAAACAATATGAAATTTTACCAAAAAAGTTAACTACCATGAGAATTGTATAAATTAGAAAACCTTGGCAATGCTGCAGTGTCCTAATAACATCTCTACACCTCTGTGTGAAAGCCCCACTAGGCACTTTCCCATTTATCCAGGACACACATTCGTAAGCAATGTATGGAGTGCTCTGCATCTGGAATCATGCACGAGATGTTAGAGACTGGCTCAGAAGTTAAGCCTAAAGCACACAGGCACAAAAAATCCCATTATTTGGAGGCCAGAAGGTATCATCCCATCCAACTGTCTGTCTAACCCAGACTACTCATTCATTGTAATCTTTTACTGAGACTCAAAACACAAGTACAGAGTCCAAGCATAATCCTTTCTTCCACAATTAGCCAAATTAGTCACAGCATCCACTCTCTTGACAAAGAACTTCAACTAAAACAACATAGCACCAGAGAACCACACAAAACCCTGAGGCTGAGCAGCTGAACAAAGCCTTACTGATCACGTTTTACTGAAAAGGAGAACTGATAAATTATTTTTAAAATTACTGACAAAGAAAAACTGACATAGGAGAATAAATAGATACTTCTTTGTATGAAAAAGAATTCTTAAGGGGTTATAGCTTCTGATACTTAACCACTTGCTCCTAGCATAATCACTTTGAATAGCAATGAGAAGAGTAGCAGTGGACCTGAAGGTATGGAAATCCAAATTTTAATTTTCTTTTTCTGCTTAAAAACACTGAAAATCTGGGAACTTAGAAAGTTCTGCGTATGTTTGAGCTCCCCAGATGCAAGGATCAGGGAGAAGAGCATTTCAGGCTGTGACCCCAGTGCCCAGCACACAGTAAAAGCAATCTCAGCATTGGCTCAGGTAATGTCTTTTGGGTAGGAGAGCAGCTTTGCAATGCAGTATTTTGTATCATTCCGTTTAGTTTAATTAGCACAGAAATTTGCTAGCTCATTTTAAAGACATACCAATCTATTTCAGATCAAAATAGATAGAAATAGCACATGTCTTGTTGTGGGAGTCCCAGAAGGCTAATCCATCTGGTAAATCTCCATCAGCTCCCACAGTTCTGTGAATTGTGCCAACACTCATTAAAAATACACAGCTTGGTATTAAAAAGCCAGCTTGGTGAATGTGAAGGAAGCTATTTCATGCAGTGATAGCAGAACAGTTAATAAACTCTACTAGAAACACCATTAGAAGCACGACTCTGATATTGCTTGGTGTTTGGGATCCAGCAGCAGTACTTCTCCAGCAATATTTTCTCTGTTGATTGGTGAAAGAAGCACTGAGGAGAAATTAACTCCTGAGTTTCAGCCCCAATCCCATCTGCCATACCACCTGCTGGTCTCGAGGCAGCTATGCCACAGATCATGCTGTGCCAGGGTTACTCTGTCCACAGGGACAAGTATCTCTTGGCATTCCCTTTCACGTGGCTGTCTGCAAATTCTGCCTGTGGCAGCTCTTTTTTAGGATTAGTAATTGAGGAAGCAAAATGTTACCCAGGAAAGAGACTGTTTCTAAAATTCATTACACTATGTTTCTTGCTTCATAATTTTATTTGTTTTTCTCCAAATGCCTTGTGAACATTCTGTTTGACTCATTCTAGCCACACTCCATGTCACAATCTTTAATCAGTAAGAAATACACTTAGACAGAAGCATTGTTTATGCTTCTTGCTGTTCAGAAATTAGCACAATTAGCTTTACTCAGCACATGCACATAAAAATCTGTAATTCCTTAATATATTCCTTCTTGCATGTCACCAATCTGATTTAATTTCCCTCCATGCCTTATTTTTTCAGTGTGCCTTTTTCCACTGTTCCTCTCAACCCCTTGCTCTCTGTGCTAGTGACTACCATCCTACCAGCTTCAAACTTTCACTTGTACTGCAGAGATAGCATGAAAAGTTTGTTTTCTGTGCAAGGAAAATGTTTTTCATATAATCACTCTATTTTTTGTATTATCTAAATATTTTTTTAAGCAAGAATAGATGTTTACTTGGAAAAACTAGGCATAATCTAGTTTCAATAATAAGATAGTGACCACAAAACCCCATTCCATTTCCAAATGCCTGCTTTGGCTCTAGAGCACTCAAAGTTGTTGCTTTTTTTAGAATCAGTCCTTGAGACTTTTCAGGTGCCCATTTCTAAAGGAGATGAAACTTATGAGATCCTGACCTCTGTACATCTGCCATTCCTTCACTCAACTCAACACCTTTTAAGCTTAATGGCCACTTTCAAACCTGAGGGGTGCAGGGCTCAAAGAAATAAAGTTCCTACAAGTTTCATGGAAATTGAAGCCTGAGCTGCCACTTTCAATTCAGTGTCAATGACTAAGGCTGCAAGTGGATTGACAGCTGGAGAGATGGGATGGTTATCCTGGAGAGCCATCAGCTTGATGATCAGTGGAGCAATTTGTTTCCACTGGCCTTACTGACAGATGAAGTGTTAAGTCTGCTAGAGGAAAGTGCTTAAGTTGGTAGTGAGGATGCTTCTAGGGTAGTATGGCAATCAAAACATGGTTGAGATATCAGCCACATTTTCCATGAACTGTTTTATCCACATGTATGCTTTCCTATGGAGGTTGTCTTCATTTTCCCCCCTCATGGATCATGACATGAATCATAACCATCTTACTGAACCTAATTCCCACCGTGTGTTAAATCTGAGGGTCAAATTAAGCAAGAGCTTGATTCTACTTAAGCCAGAGAAAAGACCAGGCAACCAGCAGATAATTAAGTGCAAAACCTCATTCTCACTCCAGTTTAAACAGGGTTTATTCAGAGAGCAGCCAAGAAGCCAAGCTGTGAGCTCTTCCTAGAAAAACAAAGCCAAGCCATCATGAATAAAGAACAGACCTGTAACTTTTTGGACCCAGTTGCTCCAGGAACCACACAACCTCTTCTTCTCTGTGCCACTCAGCTCAGACTTGCAGTTAAGTGAGTTACATTTTTGCAGAGTGGGAAAGTCCATAAATCCTGCACTTACACATGGCATGCCTGTTCTGTTTCTCACATCCTCCCACAGGTGTTCTCTGTCCCTCATATCTACACTTTCCTATTCCCTTGTGTTGTCTCCTAGGAGTTTATTGTATCCCAATGGCTTTCTGAGGAAATTGGCAAGATCCCTATGCACTTCTGTCTTCTCTCTTGCTTTCTGTTTTTATTTCCTTCTTGTGTCAGGAAGAGGCAAACTGTTCTTGATCCCCAAAATCTTGGGTCTGTAGTAAACTCCAGCCTGTAGTCAGTTATATTTCTCTCAGCTGTTCCATGAAGCCAGAAGGGCAAACACTTGTCCTGGGACCTAATATGGAACTACTCCAGTAGAAAAGGAAGATTTTCTCCATCCCATCTAAAGAAACTGACAAGAGGCATGGGTTAGGGAGACTTTAAGACTCTTTTCTTCCCTTGCCAAAAATCCTCCTTTTAATTGGAGACAGAGTAGCCTCTTCTAGTGCCATTCACAAGAAGTAACAAGAGAAAGACTCTGTGGGCAGCAACTGTTTCTGGAGACAGAATGAGAGATTCTTTATGCCCAAAGGCAAAAAACTTCTAATATTCCCAAAGACTGCAAGTAGGAGAACCTCAGGGGCTAGAGGAAAATGTTTGTCTGAAAACTCAGACTTATGATCATGAACCTTCATGTTCATGTTCCCCAAGAGAGCCAGGGAGCTGTTCATTGCCACCTCAGAAAACAAAACACAGATTTTATTTTGCAAAGGGATCTTTGACTCATGCTTTGCATTTTTTTTTTTGTATCCCCACTTATATTTGACATTCAGAAAAAAAAATCTGAAAAGATTAGAAAAAACAGAAATCTGGCAGCTCACAGATTTGCAGTGCTATGATGGTTTACAGTACAGTAAGTCCAAGCTAGAAAAGCAAAAATACACTCCACACTTCACTCTCAGTGCATGATGATTTTTTTTATACCAACATTTCTTTGTCCTTTACTCAGTTCTATCCCAAATAAATGAAAAGTTTAAAAACTGCAAAACTATTCTGAAAGAATAATTCTTGTCTTCTCATCCAAGATTAAATACAATGAAGAAAAATAAACAGATATTTGTGGGTTTGAGACCCTCATCCAAAGCCCGGTGAAATCTTTGGGAATCCTTCCAGAGACCATAGGCTTTCAATTAGGTCTTATATAGTGAGTGATGTTTTAAAATTAATTCTAAATTAAGAGCCAAACCTTACTGCTATTTAATTTGTTGCCAGAAGCCACACAAAAGTCCTTTGAGGCAAAACTCCTGAAATGCCTAGAAATTCAGATTAAATGACTCACCAGTGCTGAACAAATAAGGCACAACCACGCCTCCTTCTGCTTTTCAGCTCCCTTAAGACACTATTTTCTCAGTGTTGGGTAATATATCAAAATATTTCCATTTTAATTGTAGATTATGGCTGGCAGATGACAGAATTCTGCTAAGTGTTGACTGGTCAGACAGTGCCTTCTCTGTCTCGGGACACTTCCAACAAAAGCTGAGTATTTATCTGGAACAAGTCTGTAGCCCCTTTCTCTAATAAAGGTGAGACTGGAACCTCTGCCTTACTGGGAAGGATATCAGCAGCAGGTGGGACAGGAAGGCACAGGGGAGCTAATCCCTGCTATTTATTTTGAATTAAACTAGCATATGGTGTGTCAGGTGCCAGCAATTTGCCCAGGGAGAACAGAGAGAGTTCTGCCCCCAACTTCCTGCCCCAAAGTTATGAGAATCTGATAGACTCAAATGTGTCAGTCTCTGAGTAGTGGAGCTCAGAAACTTAAGTTTTGTGTCTCATTTCTGAATTCCCTAACATCTGTAGGGGCAAAGGCATCACACTATCCCTTAATTCATTTTGGAAGAGCTTGGGGACAACAGCCCTTCTTGGGGATGAAGACCTAGCTTACTGTAAAGGCCTCATAAATTGTGTAAGAACTTGACAGGACCAAAGCTTTTACTTCTCTAACAAGGATAACTAAATCTCATCAGTGAATTTAACAAAAAAATATTAGCACATCTGAAATGTGGTTTCATAAGTTACACTTCCTCAGAAAGGCAAAAAGAACTGCAGGAAAAAGCCTGAAACAAAACCTTGGGTCTCAGCACCATGATCTAAACTAAAATCTCTGTTCTGACACACACCTCTTTATCCCACAGAACAAATCCCAGACCAAAGCCCACTTCACTCAGAGAAACTTTAAACCAGACTTTGAGGTTTAACTCACACATCACTGAAATGGAATGCTGTAATTTCTAAAATGAAATGCTTTTCTTTAAATAAAGCAATGAACACTTGACTTTTACAAGGCAGTATCGAGAAGATGCATCATTGCATCATTCCTTCTAGCACTTCTTTAAACATCCTGCTTGAGGGACATGCTACAATTGCCACCGTGAGTCAACAGAAGTGACTCAAGAAAATTTGTATAGGATTTTATCTGACCAAACAAAGCCAACAAAAAAACCTCTGCATCATTGTGGCTGGTAGTGATTGATCTGCCATGTTACTTCAAACAAAGCATTTACTCAAAGCATTTGTTTACTTTCCTTTATGTGGGGGAATCTAGGATGGGTGAATACCACAGAAATTAATGGAAACTTTTAATGTAGAAAGGTCACAGAAGCATATTACATTTCTTGGGTGAACTGGTTTGCTTTTTCTTTAGATATACTTGTTTCTGTGGTTCGGTCAGGAGACCAACCACATTTATGGAGTTAAAGTGATGCTCAGTTCTGTCTGAACTGTTTTGGAAGAAAAGACAGAAAACTTGACACCAGTGGACAGAGATTAAAAGCTTCTACCCCTAAGCAGTGGCTGTTTTCTGTTAACATCCAGAAAGTCATTCCTCACCCCAGTTATGCAATCACAATTATTTCATCTTCAGTTACAGCCACATTTCTTGAAACCTGCCCAGAAAACCTGGCTGGGACTCAGGTAAAGAAAGGGAGACTGACTGCTGAATGAGCCAAGGAGGCGAGGTCAAGCCTGAGCTCAGAGCAGCAAGGAGAACATAAAAAGGAGGAAGGAGCATAAAAAAGGGGGGAATGGATGTTCCTCAGCATTGCCAGAGAGAGTTTGTTCCCAGATGGATAAGGAGTAAGTTCACTTTGTCAGCAGACAGGGAAAAGGTGGGAGGAGAATGGGAATAGAATGGAGAGCTGAGGCCTTTTCCCACTGCCAGCATGGAGAGCAAGGGGATGAGGGCAGCTGAGGAGCAGTGATCCCTGCTGTTGGGAAGATACCCATAAAATGCCACCATCCCCTCCAAGCTAGCTCTCTCTCTTAAGCTGGGCTTTCTATAGCACCGGGACACTGGCCTGTTTTGGGAACCAATCCTTGAACATAAAGGAGTTATGAGGAAATGGCTGTCATGAAGGCCTGATGGATGTCCTGAAAAATGGATCTTCTGATAGTGTCCTGAGAGCCCAGAGTGTTCAGAGATTGGAGAACTAGCAAAATTCACAGCAGCTCCCTAGAATGGGACCTGATCCAAAATGTGAAAGCTACTAGTGATCACTGAGAAAATAAAGAAATATTTTAGTTAAAAGGTGTGTTTGGAAGAACAGGCAGAAGGGAAAGAAAATTCTATAGTTGTAGGATGACCCTCATATTCATGAAGGTCTAAGGTAAGAACTGTGGATGAAATGTCTCTTCTTCCAAACCTTTGGCTTTCAGTTTAAATTTGGGCATGAATACTTGGATTCCACTTCGAAAAATTAATCACACTGAGGACTGCAGACCTCAGAGCACATCTCCACTTTCAGTAACTAATGGAACTAATAAATATAGATTAATGGAATCATTAAGGTTTGAAAAGACCTGCAAGATCATCAAGTCCAACCTTTAAATTTCTTGTTTGTTGCTTCAAGCTGTTAGAGAAACATAGATTATGCAGATCTTTATTGTGTCAACATCACTTCCAATAAGATAAACTATTGAGTTGTTCTCACAGAGTTGAATTTTGAACTGCTGCTGGTGTCTTATTTCAGAACAAACTCATCTTGAAGCTGCTGTTATAGAGCTTGTAATTCTTTAACAGTATTAAACAGCCTGAGGATGGCACTGCAGGGTGTCATCTCACATCTGCCAAATCCTGGTCCACAGCACCTGCTTTTGAAGCATCTATAAACTTCTCCCTATGCTCTGTATACTTTTTTTTTTAAAGGTTACAGTAACATTTTGGTCTTTTCTGTCATTCTGGATTACATCTCCATGTTAAAATTAAAATGTGAACAGAATTTGTTCAGGCCTGGGAACCTACCAGTCTGGTAGGAATTCTGGAATCTGCTTTCCTTTTCTATATTTTATTTACTAAAACGGCTGCATGTCATGTTTAATACTGATCTCTGGGGTGAGATGGCTTTTTTCTCTGGTCATTCTACCTATTTTGAATGCTCAGTGCACAATGAATACCAAAGACAGTTGTGCTTCTGAAATTGATCTTGGATAACCTTATCTAAATAACATCATTAAAAACTGAACAGACTTTTATGAGAGGAACTTTCCTACATAAAGGGATACTTTTTAACTCAGTGGCTAGTTGAAAAGGAAAATCTGAACATTTGTTTTGTTATTGTGGAGAACTATCATGTGATTCCAAAACTAACATCCCAAACAAGCAGTTAAGCAAAAAAACCCCAAAAACAAACAAACAAAACAAAAAACCAACAACAAAACAAAAAACCAAAACAAACAAACAAACAAAAAAANAAAAAAAAAAAAAAAAAAAAAAAAAAAACTAAAAAAAAAATGAGACAGCAAGCATTTAAAAGTCTTTTACATATGAAAGGAATTTAATATGAGAAATACAGCTTATGTATGTATGTATGTAATTCTGATCTTTATATTCCATAGCTGCTTGCTTAGGAATTTTCAGGATTGAAAATTGGATTTTCAAAATTTTCAGGATTGAGCTGAATGCAGTTAAAAAAATTGCAAACTGTATTTTTCTATTGCTGAGGAAATAGTTTCTACAGAACCATGACCAGCATATTGAACTGTATCAACACAAACTATATTAAAATGCATTACAACACATATTGGCTATTAATTATATATTAACTTTGTTCCCATGCACTCGACTGGCTTTTGGGAAGTTGTGCTCTGTTCAATACGGGTAAGGTTTGCTTTCTGCCCTACAGGCAGCTCCTTAAGCTTCCAGCTGCCCGGAGTATGCTGTGCTCACTGTGACACATGGAAAGGAGAGAAACAGTTCCTCTAAATAATTTTCTAACAGCAGTGGTATGTCCTGGAGCAGTAGAATTAGAAGAGTGCAGTTTTCACAAAAAAGAATAGAGATTGCTCCCTCATCTTGATGGAAACAAGGATACTTTCCCAGTTTCTGCAGTCATCCCACTTTGCAGTGATGCAGCACCTTCCCAGAGATTTGTGATTCCTGGGTGACAGCTGATGCCTCTGCTCCCTGGGAAGGGACTCCCCTCATCCACTCATGCTACGAGTCTTCCCTCCTAGCAGAGAGAAGTGCAGAGCTTGTTCGCTCCCTCAGGGCCCGACTCCAAGTCTCCAGGAGAAAGTGGGAACCTTTCCAGTGACTTCCACGCACTTTTGGTCAGGCCCTGGCCGCTCCACGCCCAGCGTTCCCACCGCGCAGTGACAGCTCAGCTCCTCGCGTCCCTTCCCACCTGGCCCCTCTGGAAGACCTTAACCCTCTCCTCTTTCCTGCCTTCTCCACGGCACACCAGGCCCGCCCGCGCTGCAGGCCCGCGACACGGCCCCGCACAGGGGTTACGGCACACAGAGCGCCCCGGGGAACCCGCGGCTCCGTGCGGCGCTCCGGCCGGCAGCCCGCGGCCACTGCCCTGGATGTGGCCGGTCCCCTCGGGGCAGTGGGGGGCTGACAGACCCCGCCAGACCCTGCCCGCCTCCGCCCGGCTCCTGGGAGCTCCGCAGCCCCCCGCAGCCGGGTGTCCGCCACTCGGTGCCTGCCCCATACCTGAGAAGTCGGCGAGAGCCACGACCTCCGCCCCGCACACAAGGACCAGGCAGGAGAGGAGGCGGAGGAGCCGCCTGGGTTCTACCTGTGCGCGGCGTGGGTGCTGCCCCGCATCCCCGTCCCTCATGGTGCGGGAGAGGGCGGTTCGGGGCGGGGGGGCAGCCCTGCCGCTTCACATGGTGCAGCCGGTCCCGGCCGGCGGTGCGGCCCCCCCGGGCCGCCAGGCGCCCTCGAGGCTGCCCTTGCCCCGCGTGGGAGGAGGAGGAGGAGGAGGAGGAAGAGGAGGAGAAGTGGGAGAAGGAGGGCGAGGGCGGAGCAGCCCTGCCAGCGGTCGCGGCGGGAGCGGGTCCAGCCGGAGAGGGCAGTCGGGATGTGGGGGCGGCGGGGAAGGGACGCGTACTCCTGGCGGCGCCGTGCCGGGCACTGCCCTCGGCGCTCATCATGCGGCCGGGCTGACTCAGAGCCGGTTGCACCTCGCCCGCCCTCCCCGGCTCTCCCCACCCCTCTCCGAGCCGTTCGCGCCTCCCTCCCGTTCAAGAGGCTCGGTTTCACCGTCTCCCCCCTCAGTCTTCCTTGGCGGTGCTTGGAGGGCTGTTACGGACTTACAGTGCGACTCGTGACCACATTTCCCCGCTTGTGTTTTTCCCGAGACAGGTGCAAGGTGCTCCCCATCGCTCCCTGACCCCCGCAGCCCAACTTCCCTGCTTTCCCCACTCCAGACGCCCTCGGCTCTCGTTCCAGACCCTGCCAAGTCTGCTGCTCCAGCCCCGCTCCTGCCCTTACACCTCGGCTCACGGGTCCCTGAGCTGGACCTATGCCTGGCAGGAACTCTGGATGAGGGATTTCAGTGGGCAAACAGCACTGACTCTTCCATGTTGCAAAAGGACCACCTCTGTTCCCTCACACTGACGGTGCGTGACACCACCTTACCGCAGGCCCGGGTCTTGACGACTCTAGTTCAGAGTGCCTTGAGTTTGAAGTGTATAGGCTTGGCTTAAAGCTTTCACTGCAAAGTGAGGAAACATCTTGAAGTCACTTTGAGAGACTTCAAGTTGTTCCCTGAAATCTTTTGTGATACAGAAAAGTGAAACAGTGAGAAGTTCAAATAAATTGTCATTACTACCTGCTAAACTACCTTCCAATGTAATTTTGGTGCTTCTTTTAAGGTATGAGGAACTCAAGGGAATAAATCAGGACAGCTCCCAGTTCCTGTAAGAACTGTCCTTAGGAAAGAGAGCTTAGAACCAACACTGGAAACGGGGCACAGAAGCATCTTTTTTCCTGGGGCTGTGGGTAAACATGAATATCCAGCTGTTTACATCCTGCCATGCATGATCTTTCTCCTGAAAAAAACCACACGAGTAAGTTGGTGAAAGACGATGGAACCAAATTAATTGTGTTAAATCTATTCCTCTCCTCCTGTTCCAACTGAAGTTAGATTTCAATTTACCAAGTTTGGCACCTCCTTTCAGAAGTTACACTGAACTTTAACCAACTTGGTCTTCATATTTGAATCTGAATCCACTTTTGTTCCTCACCCTCTCCCTCTTCACACATAGAAAAACAACTGGGTAACACATATATTAGCCTATGCTTCCTTAGTCTTGGGCAGATAAGAGCAAAACAGGTTTCACATGAACCTGTCTGAGGTCAGAGACATTCTATCAAGTGTTACTGAACTCAGATAAATGGGATCAAAGATGCTGAAATAACAGTTATAAAATCACTCTGAAACATCTGCAACTGCAAACACAGATGGGGAGAGAGAACAGTAGCTCTGCAGGTGAAGCCCTTGCTTCTGTCTGCTTCAGATAAGGACAGTGTTTGCCTCTGAACTCAGCCAGTTACCCTCTGCCTTCCAGATGGGGAACTGGAAGGAGACTTGTGGGAGTCTCCCCCTACTCCCCTCCTTTTTCCCCTTGACCTGCCTTACCTGATCATTCAATCTGACACTTCCTGCACTTGCTGTCTCAGGTCAGTCCCACCAAAAGCAGAAATGAATGCTGGGGAACAAGCAGCACAGATTTTACAGAGAAAGATTTGGAGGCTATACTTGGATCCTCTGGAAAGGTGTTCAGATAATTAGGGTGAGCTTGCCTGTCTATCCTACCTTCCTAGCTGCTATAACCTCCTATTTGCCATAACTTCAGGTGAGTGCAGTCAGACCATCTGTGGCTTCAGGATGCTAAACTCCACTCCCTATACAGCCAATGGAGAGATATCTCATGTTCAGGCCACCTGCTACAGCTCTAACAGGAAGTGTTTCACCTCCTTCTCTCACATCTGCTCACTACTCCCTGGAACAGATGTCAATAATGACCACTCAGTTTGTTGTGAGTGGCTGAGTAAACAACAGATCTGTGACAAGTACACAATCAATGCATAAGAATATATAAAGCATCAAAAATAACTGGGAAGTATCCCATACTTGTGCTAAAAGGCTTTGAATCAGAAGGTCTGCCAGGGCTGTTGCCTGATGAGCACTTGTAAATCTTCACTTCCCAGTGAGATAACATAGCTTTTTCTAGCCTGGTGGTGGTGTAATAAAAAGACCATCCCAAAGTGCAGGAATGAGCCTGGTATGCTTTTGGCACTCTGCAGGAATAACCCAAAGGCAAAGGTAGTTTCCAAGTACTGGGAGAGGTTCAAAAGGTAGGTAACCACCAGGAAGGTGAAGCAGTGAGGGTTGAATGACAGCACAAGAGGGTGCTCCTGCTTGTAGACATCTGCCTTCAAGGGAAGCCTTCCTGTGAAGGAGGAAAACTTATGGACACTGTTGCTGCCGGAACTGAATGGCATATATATATATATAAAATGGTGTATATATATATATATATATGTATATATATATATATATATATATATATACACCATTTTTTTTTCTTTTCCCTCTGAATGAGGGCTACTTTGCTATTTAAAATTAACTTAAAACCAAGTAACCCGAAATAGAAAAAGTAGTCTTCCAAATCTCTTCTATTCTCTGATGAGTAGTGCTTAAATAGTAAACTTGGAGACACTTGTGTAAAACACAAAGGCAGGAAGAGAGAAAGTGTTTATCATGATGTGATGTGCAGAATGCATCTCTTTGCCACAGCCTTGAAAGCAGCTCCTAGAAGCTGGCAATACTCAGTTGCTGGAACACAATATAACTAATCCAGACATGTTTAGCATGTAGAATTACAGAATCCCAGCCTTGTCCTTTCCTCACAAGCAACAGGAATTAGCTTCTTTTTTTTTTTTCCCCAAAGAAAAAAAATCACACAAAAGTCCAGAAGTTAGAATCCAGGAGAGATATCACATCTGCTTCAGACAGTTTCTCTCTTTTGGACTTGGCGAGAAAAGAAATCACTTCACAGTGCCAGAAATGCAGGACTTGTGTTGTTACATGGATTTGTGTTGTTAAATCTGAGCACTTAACTTCTTTTTCTCCACATTATTAAATTTTCCCTGAACTTCACTCCAACTGCCAATTCAAAACTCATATCATGACTGATATGAGTATGGAAATTCCAAAAAATTAGTCAGTTAAGAAGTAAACAATGTGAAATAAAAGAAAGCGAATGTGAAAAAAATAATGTGAAAGAAAATGGACAGTTGAGTTAGATGACCTAAAATTTTCTATTAGTGAATAAAATCACTAGATCTATTGTACAGTAACAAAAATTGTCAGAAAAATATCTCAGACATACTTTTTCACACACAAGACACAGACACACACGTCTGTGTGTACACTTCTCACCACTATACCCCCTACTGTTTTTTCTTCCTGCTTTCTCCCCTATATTTTTTAAAGAGCTGATATTTGTCATTTTCATTTTATTCTCTCAGAATAAAGTTTCCAATAAGTTCCCTAATGTTCTTTTTGGATTTTGAGGATTAAAACAAACAAAAAAAATATTAAGAACAAAGCCCCAAGTTTTCCCACATTTTTAAAAGTCTTATATTCCTGCATTCTGACACAGACAGAATCTACGGTACAGTTAAAACAAGTGGGTTGCTATCCTCGTTCTGTTTCTATGGAAATGAGTGTCAGATCACTTCAAACAAAGCACATACTTTACAGTAATTGCTGTATGGTGATTATTTAAAATAACAGAGTGTGTTTTTCCCAATCCAGCCTCTATTCCTATGGATACAAGATGAAAATAGTTGTAGAGAAGCTTGTTCCACAGTTTTTTCTAATTCTCAATGTTATGAGTGAGCACAAGAGGCCATCCGATCCGATTAACAGAATTTATTTAAATTCATTTAATAGAGTATATGAAAGCAAAGCAGCGCTGGGCGACAGAGGGGAGCCACCGCTCCGCCAAACTGCCGCGCTTGTGGTCCCCTAATTCGCTCTTTTATCTTTCTCCTTAGTTCACTCGTTTCTTCTGCGCAGTCGCATTCTGTTGCTAGGTGGTCGTTTTCTGCCTCCTGATGGTCGTGGGAGGAAGGCCGGTTGTCTTCCTCACAGGTGTCCTTTGATCTGGGGATTCTCACAGTCTCAAGAATACGTGTTATCTTAGGAATGCGTGTTATCAGTTAAGCAATGCAAAGCCTATTGCCTACTACCGCTGTAAAAACTTAGGAATGCGTGTTATCAGCAATTCACAGCCTATTGCCTACTACCGCTGTAAAAACAAATTTCCTTACATTATATCCTTGAAACAAATTAACATCTGCAGCTACATCGAACAAAAAGGTCACCCTTCTCTTACATCAATGTGGTTTGGATGCTGTAAGTTCTTACAAGGTACTATGGATAATAAGATCTAACAAGATCTCCAAGTGTACTGCAATTTGAACTTGAGAGGACCAATTCAGTGAGCCAGAGATAGTAAACACTCTTGTGTGTAGAAATTTGAATGAATACTGAGTGCAGTACTCCACACAGCAGGTTTAGAAGGAGGGGAAATATTTGCTGTGGTCTGCTATTTTTTGGCTCCAGAGAGAGCAAACTCACTAAACAAGTTTGAGTTTTGTGCTCATGAGCTGCTCCTTGGCCAAACTAATCAGAACACCACAGAGACCCTGACCACTTCGCAAGACAGAAGATGTGAACCATGAAGTTTGTAAAGCTAATCTCCTCACATTTCATTTGGAATGAAACATCAGTCCATCTCCTCACCAGGCATAGCAGAAAGTCCCCACTCTCATACTCCTGAACACTGCCAATCTTGCTGGCACTTCTGTACACAGATTATTTTTTCTAGCAGTGCACCTGGCACTTGTATAGACATGAAGTAAGAGGCATGTCCCATCTTATAGATGATTACTTACTGCTGGAAACAAGAGAAAACATGACCTAAGGTGGAGGCAGAACAAATGCACCAAGGAAAAAGCCCTGGTTTTGTTGATTTTGCCCTCTTAAAGCACTCAAGTTGTCCCTGATCACTTCCTGACATGATGCTTCAAAGACACACTGGGAAAGACTATGTGTCTTGCCTCTTAGTTTAGGAAGGACATTAGGACAGTTGCTGGGTGGAAAATGGTCTTGGAAATCAACCTCTTTGTGAAAGTGTTTAATTATGGTTTTATGAGTCTGCATTTGATGGGTTGTTGTCACTGTTCCGCTTTAATAAGTATTTAAGCTAAGATTTTCCAAAATTACTAATGATCTCGTGCAGAGAGTTTGTAATTTTTCTTCTTCCCCCCCATTTCCCCTCCCCCTCACCAC